GAGGGAACGAGCGTTTCGAGGGACCTATGATACGATCGCGACCGCGAAAGAACGACTCTAAGAGTCGAGACCCGAAAAATCGAAAACAAATACAGAAACAAACGGACAGAAGCTCCGTTTGCATCGTCATTGCAACGATTCCTCGAATCCACCTACAGTAACAGATCCGTCAACCGTTGCGCGACCTACTCAAACTAACGTGACGAGATCTGCCCTGGACCCTACCTACCGGGATTTAACATACACACCACAAGTTAAGTTACCTACCTACCTAACCCTATATTTAAAAATGCCAAAACAATCACACCAACACACACGCTCAACGATTCTCAATCAAGGCTCTCGGGCGCGACTTAAACTAGGGAGATGTCCCGGGACACCTCCGACACCCGAGGATACCATACAAAACATTCACACTCTAAAGGTACGTACCAGTTCCTGAAATCGACTGACAGAGGCTAGCGACCATTGCGTATATGTAATATGTATATATCAACATTTAAATGTAATATTATGTAATATAATAATAATATTTATATGCAATGCTTTAGACTGATGCAATTATTGATAACTCTATATAGGTTCATCAGCAATTTACTATTTTTATTTTGTATATAAGACTGAGAAGCTACTTTTGTTTATATTCTTGTATATGCAATGTATATGTATATATAGTAATGGAAATAAATGTCAAGCAATTCAATAAAAATTTAAAGAATGGTTAATACTAAGCAATTGATATTTCATTGCAAATAATAATAATAGAAATCGAAAGTTATGAACGTATCATTTGTATGTTGTAAGAAATTATTGAATCGACGCAATTCCACATCCTAACCACACACACACATGTGGAAATACGTCGTGCACGAGACGTTAGCGCAGAGTCAGTCGCCACATATATTATTATTATTATTAAAGACTATATCATCGTGCCCATTGCCTTCGCTCATCCAAGTAGCACCTGGGCACGTGAATGAGCTTAGACAACGTACACGCAAGCGTTAAGCCTGAAAATCCTCACGAAAAAGAATAATTAGTAAATCTAAGCGATCTAGTATCGTATCCTTTTGCGTTATTTTATTTTCAGTAAAAAATGACTCGACTTTTAATTTATACAAATTGAATTATCAAGAGTAATTACTGTAATCAAAATTGAATTATTTAAAAGATTATAAAAAAGATTGCAATTATAGAATCTGAAAATTTAAGATGAATATTGATTTACTTTCAGGTGATTCAAATGTCAAAGTAGATTTTTAAGGAACGTACAAAAGTGTTCAAACCGTGTTACTTTGACTTAGAAATCAACCCATCCCGAAGCACTCTTCTTGTACATAAACGAAAAACTTTAATGCAAGGAATGTATACTTAAAATATAAAAATTACATTTGAATTTATACTTCAAATATGTAGAAAAAATCTACTATATCTTTACAACTGTTTATTTGATAAATATCTATATGAATATTCTCTCAACCATGAATATAAAGAAATAATTGTGATATAAAAGAATATTATTTTATCATGTCATTAATAGAAAACGCGAGTACAAGAAAAGCCTAGCCTAAATTAATAAATAAAACAAGAAATCTTACTACTCACGAGTATGTTATACAATGCATACCCGCGGTCACTATACTCGCCAAAGACAACGTATACAACCAGTCACCCGTGTCGATTCGAACCTTTCGTCCTACGACATGATTGGGGACCGGAGGAACCAAAAAGCATAAGACTCAGCAACCGTTGTCTTCATACAGGACATCGGAGTAGCTCACCAACATTCGGTAGACATCGGAGTAGCTCAGCAATATTCGATGGACATCGGAGTAGCTCAGCAACATTCGATCAACATCAGAGAAGCTCTGCAACGTTCGATGATCGGAGTACCACTGCGAACGTTGGAGTGCTGCTGATTGACGATGTACAAAACCTGCAACGTGTTACATGAATTACTAATACGTTTTAAAATTTACAGCAGTAATAATTTTAATTCGTTAAAAACGAAAATAGATTTTCATTTTAGATAAGTGATTAAAATTTGGGATAGTAGAATATATACAAATACATGTATAAAAGAGATATTGAACTAGAAAATTATAAATGTTATATATATTATAACATATAACATGATACATAATTGTAATTCAAATAAGGCAAATTCATAAATTTTATGTTTTTAAAACAAAGCTATTTATATGTTGAAAAAACTTTGAACTTTAATTTTTTGTTTGTTAAATATTTATAATAAATTATAAAAAAATGTAGATTCATAAATGTTCAGTTTCTATAAAATGTAGTTAAAAAAAAGTAAACAAGCATGAATTCATTAAATTTATCAAATAGAAATCAATTTTACAAAAATGTTGTCAATTTACAATATTATAAATTTTTTATTTGTATAACAAAGCTAATTAAATGTTGAAAAAAATGTTAACTTTAATTTTGTATGGTTGTTAAAAATGTATAATAAATTACAAGGTGTAGATTGATAAATATTCAAAGTTCCTATAAACTATAGTAAAAAGAAGTAAAAATGGATTAATTCATAAAATTCATCAATTTTATAATAAATATAGGAAATAATAGTTTAAATTTTCAAAATTATAAATTTTTTACTTGTATATCAAAGCGATCTAAATCTTGGGAAAATGTTTAACTTCAATTTTTTATATTTTTCACAAATTTATAATAAATTATAAAAATGTGAAGCTTAATAAATGTTCAAAGTGTCTAGAAAATATAGCAAAATAAAGTAAAAATCCAATCTCGGAAACTCTGATGTGAAAGCACAAATATTCGAAGCTTCGAATGTGAAAGAGCAAATATTCGAAGCTTCTAGTAGTTCCGCCATTTTGTGTTACAATTTGTTCGAAACTATTAGTTTGAAATATTATAGAAATGAAAAGGAATTATTATTAATTTAGTCTACTATTATTTCATCTGTACAAATCTAGTGATTAAAGACAATATTACCTGTTCTCCTGCTTCCTCTGTCAAGCTGTGCAATTTTTTAGCCGTTCCATGTTTAAACAAATTGTAGTTGAAATAGAGAATATTTAACAATCATGGCGTCGGCGTCGGTTGACCAGATTCATAACGTAGAATCTTTAACATACAAGAATTCAAATTTGAAGCAAAATTGCAATAAATATGTGTTTGTGCAATAGCTAAGCAACAAATTAATGTTAACAAAGTAGCAGAATGCGATAAAATAACTCAGAAAGACATACTGCCACAGTACAAGTTGATATACGAACGTATATCAATTGGTACTTGGTGGAGAACGAAACGATCGAAAGTGCGAAATCAATCTAAATTTTCTAACAAAACCGATTCAGTTAAGGAACAACAGTATTATATATTAGAACACTGATAAGCAGTGACACAGGGCTGGAATAAGAACAATCAGATGTCGATTAATTAATTATGCTTACCTATTAATTTGCGGATCAACCCTCGGATCGACACGTCTGCTCAATTCAAGTGCCAGGGCAAGAAGGATACCTTCTTCTCGCGTTCGCGCCACCAGTTAGTGGGTGGTGGGTGCTCGACCAATGAGATTTGAATATCTAAATGTAACGCTAAACATGATTGGCTGTCACTTCTTCATATAATTTCTGATCCTTCTGAATTGAAATTAAAGTTAAGAAATGAAAAATAAGGACGAAAATTACAAATCAAAATTTAATTTACTCTTAAATTATTATTACTATGCATAATATTCCATTCCTTCCTATTCTTTTCGTATTCGATTTGACTTTAGCCTCGATGTATGACATGATGACAAAGAATCATTCGATATGAATCGATACCTTGATTTTCGATCGTGTAACATGGAAATATATTTTCATTTACAAAAAATATTTTGCATATTTTAAAGAGTAATTGTTAATATCCTTGTCTGCGTTTATGTGCGTAATTTCAAAGATGCTTTTCATTTCATTCGTTAACCTAACAGCGAGGGACAACTTTGTTTATGTTCACTAACCTTACTGATTTCGATAAATGTTTACAATCGATTTCCAATCACTTATTCTTTCATGTAGCTACGCACAAAACTGACACATCACTTATTAGGACGACTTTATCAGCTTTTTCCTGCCCTTTGTCAAGTATAAATCACTTGTTTCGCAAGCATATCGATGACTTAACCCTTTAACGTAAACATTATTGTGTTATAAAAAGTGACAACTCTTCGGATGCTTCAAGAAACTAGCTAAAGTTATCAAGAGAACAAAACATGATTTAAAATAAATCAGCTAATTCTAATCAACGTGAATTCATTGATCTTTTGCAAACATTGAATTTTTCGTGTCATTGTCAAATGAGGAGTCACGTTAGATTATAGATACAATGGTTTGGGTTACTATGACGTAATCGAGCAATTTATGTAATATAAATGTCCGACAATACGATTAGTGTTAATTTTTTGCAGTTATTACGTTTATTAATTACAAAACAGTATGTGTTTTGCAAAATTATCGTTCTCAGATGTAGAATGTGCTTCGAAACAATTCGTCTTTTTACGCAGTCGGTAAATTAAACGCAATACAGAACACGATCGGTAAAAATTACATTGATCGCAAAATGTATATTCTATCCAAAATAAAAAATCATATATATGTTGTCAAAATTTTATTTCTATGTGTACATGATGTAAAATCATTGAGTTTTTAATAGAAAAATAGACATAATCTCATCTTTACAGTTAACCTCTTCGAATTCAAACTTACTGAACTTACGTTCACGAAACGTTTGATGTCAAAAGCAGTCAAAAGCTTGAATGTAAGAATGTTTCCTACTGTATTTCCATAAAATATTTCTTGATTGTTAAAAATGTTTAACAAATAACTTGAGTATGATATCATTATTACAATTGCAACGTATATAATTAATACTACTTTTTAGTTTTGTCAAAGAAACTGTATTTAGGAAAGGTTAATCATATTATATCATCTCGTTTTAGTGGAGCCTTACGAGGATTAAAATAACAAAATTTGCAGTTGCATGATGATCATGTTAAACTGCACTATACTATGAAGAATATTTTTATTTTCATTGTTTTGGTAAGATAACATGTATAGTACGTTTGTAGCAATAAATCTGTGAATAACTTTATTATTTCGATTGAATATCAATATAAGCAATCTTATTTTAGCATATACCCTATGTGTTAGCATTTAAAGAGAAATTATTGCATTATATAACTGACGAAATCACAGGAGGTTCGTATAAATATTATAGTTTAACATATGATGGCTTTATCAAAATAACATTGATATCAGAGTAAGTAAAACAGTGAAATCATGAGACTATAATTAATATGTAACAAGAACAATTGAAATATTTGTTACACCTTATTTTTACAGGTATGGTGATGCAGACTTATATGCTTCCCAATCAATAGCAAAGCCGACTTATGAGCCTGATGAATATTGTCTTCAATCTGCTACATGTGGAGAGGATACTATACTTATTCCTGATAGGTATATTAAGAATAGCTTCACATAGCAGTGGGACTAATGCTATATAGATTCTGTTGATATTAAATAATAAAACATCACTTTATGTCAAACCATGTAATGTCTATATGAAAGTTCTGTTATATATTGTAAGATACATTATTATATCCAGCACATGCTTGGTATACTTCAATACTAACAATGTGTATTGTATCAGCACCATTGCTAGTTTAATATAATAAGTAGATTATAATGCAAACATAAATTTTTAGTTTTAAGAGACCAGTTAGTATAGGAGTTTATGGACATCCGTCACATGAAAGCAGTAAATATATACTTTTAGTATACGAAACAGCAAATACAGAAAATTTATTTTATGAAAGGAATTCAGATACTCTTCATAAAAATTATAATAATGAGGTATGTTATAATAATGTTGCTCTTTCGATATCTTTTGTGTAATTCAACTTTATTATTTCAGGAACAAGATGCATCATTTTCAGCATCTATTACATGGTATCTTTTAGATTTACTTTTTCAAATCCTGTTTTGATGATTATAATAACATATTAGGCAATTTTACTATTAATCATGTTGGAATATGAGAACCAAATATTTTTGGAAATGCTCCATGAGGATGGTTTGCTTGTAGCAGCAAAGTAATTATTAGTTTATTTATCTATCGTACGTAATTCAATATCGAATATTCAATTTGTTGCACTGTTATTGTAGGGGACTTGGTATCGAAACTGTATTTGCAAATATATTAAGAGCTTATATAGATCCTGGAAACTTAATTATAGTCCTCGGGACTACAAGTCACGATGAAAGATACTTTATTGATACTTTAAAAAGCTTTGGAGTAAAACAACTACCTCGTGTGGTAACTTCTGAATGCTCTGCTGATGAAAGGTTTGCATTGAACTCTTACTTTTAAACATATTAAATTAATTTTCTTATCTTTATTATAAGAGCAAAAAATATATGTTGAAGGTAGCTATGGTAACAATTGCAAATGTGAGAATGTGGCAAGAATGTGTGCTGCTGATGTGGATGGTTTAAGGGAAAGTTTGAATGGGAATCAGTCGTGAAAGAGTCTTCAAGGAGTGCATGTTGAAACATACTTGTTATATTTTGTTAATTATATTTAAATATATTTCATATTATTGCTGCATATGATTAAATTTACTTTTTTGCCTAAAAGTCCTCTACATTATTTCTAATGATATTTCATAAATAATTGTAGATCAATAATGTATCTGGAAGGTGGGGCATTGTTTATGTCCGGTCCAATTCTGGTAGTAGATTTATTAAAACAAAGAATTCCATTAAATTTAGTTACTGGAATCCTTGTGTATAGAGCGCATAATATTTTAAGATCATATCAAGAAGCATTTGCTCTTCGTTTATATAGGCAAAATAACAAGGTATATATTAAAGAAAAAAATGAAATTAATAAATACCTATGTAGCGTAATTTATAAAATATCATTTTCATTAATTCAGTGATTTTTTTACAGACCGGTTTCATCAAAGCATTTTCTAACTCAGCATTAGCATTCAATGTTGGATTTACGCAAGTAGAACGAGTAATGAAAGCTTTATTTGTTAAACAATTGTATTTGTGGCCACGTTTTCATGCACTTGTAAATAGTAGTCTAGGAAAACGCAAGGTAAACATGTCATATAATTATTGATATTATAGCGAGACAAGCATTCATATTAAAAATTATACTAAATAATATTGTTATTCAGGCAGAAGTCATTGAACTGCATGTAAAGATCACACCAAAAATGTTGAACATTCAAACTGCTTTACTTGATGTGATGAATTACGTCGTAAAAGAATTGAAAAAACTTAATAAATATGTACGTACATAATTCGATTTATTATTTTAAATTATATAAAATTGATAATATCATTTGTAATTTATTCTTGCAGTTAGATTTAGACGAATTAACTGTTGAAAATGCGATAGCTAAAAAATTTCACAAGCAATTGCAATCACAATTAGATCCTATTTGGCATCAACTTAGTTCCACTTCAAAGCAGTTACTTTCAGATTTAAAGACGTTACGAGCTCTCCTCGCGTAAGTATTTATATATCTGAACTAATAAAAAAAATTCATTTTTGTTAAAAAACAAAACGTTTCTTATAAAAATATGCAGATGTTTGACATACGAAGATTGCGTGTCATTTTATGCGATGCTAAACCGTTTACGTACTATGGAATATGCTGTGAAAAATAGTGGCTGGTTGATGCTAGATTCTGTAGATTCTTTATTCAAAAATGGAAAAAGTAGAGTTTACAATGAAAAGAATGGTAATTTAACTATTTATATAATCTATAGTACAAATGAAAATAAAAATCTTTAATAATAAATATATATATTATCTTTGTACAGAATTGAAACCAGAAGCAAATCCAAAATGGAGAGCTTTAACAGAAGTATTACTTGAAATTCAGCATCAAAGTAAAAAGAAGGGAGATAATGGTAATGCTGAAAAAATTCTTATTTTGGTACATGATCGTACTATATGTTACCAATTAAGAAATTATCTAACTATGGGTCCTAATGAGTATTTATTGTATGAGGCAATGAAGAAACTCGCTCCTAAAGAAGTAAAAAAAGCAAAGTATGTAATTAATACGAAATAAAATTTATCCACACAAGTTCGAGTCATAAAGTTTGTATTGATGCTACATAGCATAATCTAATACTTAATATTAATTACATTTTATTTATTTTTTGTAGCGAAACCAGTGTAGAAAAAGCATCATCCGAAGAGAAAGGTGGTGATGATACTGACGAAACCGAACAAGACACCTACATGTTAACATTATCTCAAAAAGCTAATGAGGAAAGTGAATCTAATTCACCACCAGATGAAAACAAAAATCAAACATTATTTGAGGATTGCTCACAAGTAAGATACACATTGTATTATAATATTCGGTACAGATAAAACGAGAATAATTTAATATAAAGTTTTATGTTCTCCTTATAGATGGGAGATTTAGATTTAACTATTGCAACAACAAACACGCCTGTTATTTTAATACAATCTTTAAAAAAATGTGGAGATCCAATGTCTTTACTACGCGCTTTAGCAGAACATATGCCAAGTAATATTATTATGTACGTTGCTGATATTTCGGCTGTACGGCAAATTGAAGTATGTATGGCAATCAATTTAGGCAGTTTATAAACGAAATATGGTTACAGATATTTAAGTAAGTATTTCTTTTCAGGTGTATCAAAACAATAACCCATCGATAGATTTAAAAGTATATTTCTTGATTTATGGGGGTTCTGTAGAAGAACAAGAATATCTTACATCCTTGCGACGGGAAAAAGAAGCATTTCACAAATTAATCAATGCAAAAACTGTAATATTATCGTATCATAAATTTAAACGTGTGTTTATCTATGTATATGACGATATATTTTCTTCTTCTAGACCATGGTTATCCCTGATGACCAGGACGGAAAAACTGATGATTTAAATCTTTCATTAGAAATGAATACAAATGACACAGAAAATACACGCAAAGGTGGATTATCAACTGAACCTCAAGTTCCAAACACTGTAATAGTTGACATGAGAGAATTCAGAAGTGAACTACCTGCAATATTATATACACGAGGGATGAGAATTGAACCCGTAACGTTACAGGTACAATGGAAAACTTTTGATTCGTGACATAAATGCTTTCATTATATCGTTTTTATTTCTTTTATTTAATGTTATTTGTAGGTGGGAGATTACATCTTATCACCAGAAATTTGTGTCGAAAGGAAAAGTATTTCTGATTTAATTGGGTCTTTAAACAGTGGAAGATTATACAATCAAGCTATTTCAATGACAAGATATTACACCAAGCCAATGCTTTTGATAGAGTTTGATCCAAATAAGCCATTTTGCTTTCAAGTAAATGTTGTTTACATATTATGGAAAGAAAATATTTGAAAATCTAAATTTGTTTAAAAAGTGAAATTTTAATTCCAGGGATATTACTACGCTAGTAAGGATGTACAAAATACGTTCATAACTTCAAAACTTCAGTTATTAACTCTACATTTTCCTCGATTAAAACTTGTATGGTCGCCTGGGCCTCACGCAACGGCACAATTATTTGAAGAATTAAAGGTAATAAAGTGGAACTGTAATTTATAGAAATTTGCCATCAAAACGCTTTAAATTCATTTTGTTTGTTTCATTAATTTCTAATGAAATTTATAGCAAGGAGCTTCTCAACCAAATGCAATAAAAGCTGCTCAAATAGGATTTGAAGAAAACAAAGAGGCAACAGAAAAATTCAATTCAAAAATTCAAGATTTAGTTTCTAAATTACCAGGAGTTACAACAAAAAATTTGCAAACAATTTTGAGCAAAGGACAATCATTAGATCATCTCAATAATCTTACAAAAGTATGTATTCATATTTCGAATTAATACTTTGCAATGTTTCTATATAATAATATAATTACTTTTGTTTAAAAAAAATAAATATTTTCTGTAGGAGGAACTTGCAGAAATGATCGGAAATAAACACGAAGCACAAATGTTATACGATGCATTTCACGAAAAAAGTTCTCCCGCTGAAGAAAAATCGAAAACAATTGGTAAGAAAGCTGCCGTCGGATATAGAGGTCGTGGAAGAAGACTGTTTTCTAAAGTTAAGCAATGATGTTCAGACGTACATAGTTTTTAAAAATATTTATTGCTTAATTTCTACTTCAGTTATGTATAAAATGCGAGATCATGGATGTATACTGTGTTATACGCGATATCAGTAATGTGATATAAAAAGAATTGTGCATGTAACAATTTTCATAGAAAGTAAAATATATTTTTATCTATTAAAAATTTGGAACAAATTCAAAACAAGTATTAAACATTTAGTAATTTTAATTAAAAATATCATTTTTACTTGATTTATTTTTCTTTGTATTTTTGCTACTCTTGTATGTCGACAGATCTTATCAAACATAATATGGCTTCATTTAATATATCATGTAATAATAATACACAAGATTCTGAGATAAGCATATGGGAATTAATTTGCTTTGCTTCAAATATCCTGCAATTACAGAATTATGTAAATGCAGTTAGATAGAACTGAACTATACACTACTTTTAGTTTAAAAATTTGATATCATACTTAGCTATTTTTAAATCTCCGCACTTATGTGAAACTTCAGCTCTTGAAATAGCTTTCAATGCTATTTCGTGTGCAACTTCTAATATTTTATGTATAATCTCACGAGTATCGATTGAAATATGTTCTAAACAAAACTAAATAAATTATATACGTAGAATGATATTTTTATAAAAAATACGTAAAATTTTATGTTAACTCTAATTCTTAACTTACTTTATTGTCTCCATAACAGAAAACATAAGCCAAGATGATCTTAGAAATTTCTGATATAAACGTTAATTTTTCCTCTTGAGTCATTGAATCAGGATGAAATTTCAACAGTAATTCACGAAGCATAGCTGCAGTGGTATCATATTTTTTCTTAGAAATTAAATGAATTTCTTCATAAATACGCATATCCATTCCTATAAAATACGTAGAATATTTACATATTATTATTGGTATTGTAAATAACTTATTATTCGTAAATACCTGGTAAATAATCAGTCGAAAAACTATAGAGACCATTTAAATATCGTTCAGCCATTAAAATTGATGGTACATCGCGAATATCTATTTTATCCATGATATTATCAAGCCATGGCGTGATAGAATAAAAATCAAAAGCAATATCGCTAAGTTTTGTATCTTCTCCTTCAACATTTAATGGTGGTTTGTGTTCCTAAAATAAAGGCAATAGTTAACTCTAATTAAATCGAACAATAACATGCAATAAAGTTTATTAAAATTTGAAATATCAAGTTAATAATTTAAACCAATAATAATAATTTTACTGACAAGGAAAACTTTCGATTCTGTCTCCAGTTTAGGTTCATCTAAAAAGACATATTCTCCACAATATGAAATTACAATTTGCTTTATAGGCTGTTCATAGTATGTTGACATGTTTTCTAACGTTTTTAAAGCTCTTGCACCATCTACTAGTTGCCTTTGTGTACATCGTAATAATTAATTTTTATTTTATTATCTACTTGTAGATAAATGCTTATATTAGAAAGCTGTTTTTACTTAACTCACCCAAAAGCAACATAGAAATAATTCATCCAAGGATTAGGTTTTAAGCATATAATAAATTGGGACTCATTAGAATGTTTTCCAGTATTTACCATTGAAAGAACTCCACGACGATCGTGAGGAATGCAATAAGATTCATCTGGTATCTTAACATCATTTACAGAATCCTTGATTTTAGGCAGTACAGTGCCTGCATTGAATACAAACTTAAATTAAACTTGAGTTTATATTATTGTTGCTTAATTATTATTAAACAAAATAAAAAATAATTTAAATAATGTTTAACTTTACCTCCACATTGAAGCCATCCATTTTTTACTATGCGATGTACACATGTATTCACAAAGTAAGAATCTTTATAAGTTTTTGTTACTTCATCATACCCAGTACAAAGATTTAAAAAATGTTGACAAGTCAATGGTAACAAATCAGAATACAACTAAATCAATACAAAAATCAATAGAAGTGCTTGATAAAGCTATGATCCTATATAAAATCAAATATGAATTGTTACCATGAACATAAATGACCCAATGATAGAACCATCTACAGTAAATGTAAAATAAACATACTTTCTCTAAAATTAAATGGTGTAGGATTATTGTACAATTTACATTCTTATATTAAGGTATTATATAGTAGTAAAATAACTTATATAATAATGATATATTCACCTTAGATTTTTCCATAAATTGCTTACACCGTTCTGTGGCAAGAGTTTCATAATATTCTATTCCAATAGGTAAACTAAAAATATAAGACTCACTTATATAGTATAGAAATTCGGCATCACAACCAATATATTCATCATCTATAAAGACTGCTACAGGTTGAGTTAATAACCATATTTTACCTCCAATTTGCTGAAGATATTTATACATATTTTATGATCTATTTGTATTAGTATGACTTCTAATCATACTTTGTTATATGCAAAAATTATGATTACCCTTTTCTTTTTTTGAATATACTCGTACCAATCTATTTGAAACATTTCTATAATCTGGGGCTTTGCATATTTAAATGGCAAATGTTGATGCAATTTTTCTGCGCATATTCGAGCTTTTTGGAAAGCAACAGTATTTATAATGCCTACTACTTTAATTTTAACACAATCGTTATCAACAAAATTTGAGCAAAAATGTTTTTTTAGCAATCCACTTTTATTTTTATTTTGTGTCATTGTGCTGCTTAAAACACTATTAAAGGAACTATATTCACGATTATATATTACTATAGTCATGAATAGTCATGCAAATTTCATGTTATATTTATCAATATTTATAATGGATGTTCAACTTTTTCAATTGCTTGCATTTATTTTTGACAAAAATTTTTATTTTGCTACTATTTTACAATACAATTATTGCTGTACATATCTGTTGTTAATTCTAATTGTTATACTATCAATAAATTATCCACAAATATTTTAATATATCGTATATATGAAATGACAAAATCATTTTCTTAACAAAAAATTGTTTATATTCATATATATTGTAATAATTTATCATAACAAAAATCTTAATAATTTCTTCTTGACTTCGTCCGAGTCAACAATTATAACAATATTACTCATAAATTCATCCTAAAAACAAATAATTTTGATATAATATTTTGTTATATTTGAAAGATATCTGTTATTTTAATATTTCATACATTGCTTCTGTAGCATTATCAAGATCACTTTCTTCATCGCTACTGCCACTTGTATCCAAATTGTATAAGAAAGAATCATTTTCACACATAGGAAAATAAAATCTGAAATTATATATTTATTAATAAACTCAAATTAATTCAATAGATTAAACTTTCATATTATATAGAATACTAACTCTGGTTGATCCCAAATTTTTTGAGTAGGTATTTTAAAGTGATTTTGTTGCTTCATATGCTCCAAAACATTCTCTACTTTGGTCTCACAGAAAACACAACGTTGTAAATGAATTTGCCTTCTTACATAATTTACCACTTTCACCTATATCAAAGTTACAGTTTAACAATATAAATTTTAATATTTTAATTATTTCATTCATAAAATACACTAAATCTCACTTTTTGATAGAATGTTAAATCTTTTGATACATCTTTAAAATCAAAATTATGATGCATTTTCATATGTGCAAGAATAAGATAAAAGTGTTTATCACCATAATTGCAGAACAAACATGTTATACCGATATCTTCATCATTCCAGTCAGACCATGTTTCTTCATCTTCATTTTCACTGTTTTGATCTCCTACTGCATGATTTTCTCTTGGAACAGTCTAAATGTATTAGAAATTACAGTAAGATATTTATATCAAATATTCTACTATTGCAAATTTTAATTAATAAAATACCTGCTTATGCCTCCATGTTTTTCCAGGTTCTAAATAATTATTTATATAAAATTTATCATATGCCTTATTATTGGGATTTATACGTTTATGTAGTTTTTTACGCATGTGTTCTTTCAATGCTGTTCGATCTTTAAATAATTTTTCACAATATATGCATACCAAACTAAAATACAATGTAGAAGAATGTTGAGTAAATACGTAGATTTTATGATACGGAATAATAATATGAATTACAGTTAAATAAAGTTAATAAAATACAATAAATACAACAAGTATGTTTCATCATGCAGTGTCTTCAGACCGTTTCTCTATTGATTTCCATTCAAAGTTGCCACATTCTCACAAATGCACACTTCTTTAGATTATACTTTTAATATCTTACTTTTCAATAGTATTTTGAATTTTATCTAAAAATTCATCTATGAATACTAAATTATCTGGTTTTCCTAAATACAGATTATGTTTCTCTGCCAAATGTTTTACATATGTAATGCGTAGTCCTGAAAATTCCATTCTACAGAAAATACAACCACGTTTGAAATTGGTATCTGTCCTTTCTCTCGATTGTTCTGATAAAACCCATTCCTTAAAAATATACATTGTCCACTTATTCTTTACAAAAAATGTTTGTTAAAAGTTGGTATAATTTATTGGTACCAATTTAGCCTGATATATTTCATCTCTTAACGTTTTATCCTCTAAAATACAATCAGAAAGTAAGAAATATGATTCATTTTTACTTGGCTTCCCATCAGGTGTACAATCCATTAACATTGTTGTACAATATGTAGTTAACGGCTCCTCTTTAAATTTAAAACCCCAATAATGTATATAGCTAAAATAATTGAAGTTATGAAGTTTTAACAAATAAATCTTAAAATATATAATTTTAGAAAATGAATTTACACCTTTTCAAACTAGCAATGTTACACACATCTCCTATTACAAGCCTATGTTCTTCGAACAAGTGAGTTAAAAGTTGCTTTTCATTTTCAGGAAGGACAAATTTTATATCACATAAAAGACATTTTGTGGCATAAGGTTTATCATCTAATCCAACGAATTGAGATTTAAATGTAGTATAATCTTGTTTACAACCACTGTCGATATTTGATGAATCTTTATGTTTCTCTGCAATATAAATTTATGTGGTATTCTATCTTTCAATAATTAAAATTATAATATTTAAAATATATACCTCTGGGATTCATGACTGCTGCAATTTTTAAGAGAGTAAATCAATTAAATTCATTAATTTATCGAATTTGGGTTAAATCTTCAAATTGTTTATATGATAGGTTAGGTATCAAAAGCCTTTTATAATACAAAGATACATCGTCTTGATCTGTTTCCTAGTGACTTTGATCAAAAAATGTATTCTTTATTAATCCATGTTTTTGGAATACACAAAAAGAGTCAATAACATTATTACATGTTATTAAATACAATTTTTTCGGAGAACTACGCAATCACGTGTTTCCATTCTATCTGTCAAAATGCCTTATTGGACAAAATATTAAAAGAATGTTTGTTATACTAATATTATTTGAAGTTATTCACATCCTTTCTCAATTAACAAAAGTAATGTAAATCACAATTTATTGAAGACTAATACGAAATATAACATGAATTTCAAATTTTCTTCTATGTCCATATAAAACTAAAATTAATTACTAATAGGATATGACAGTAATAATAATTATTTTATATTTTAAATATATATAGTTACATTATTATAATACATTATTGGTATCTTTTACACAAAAATTTAACTTTATTTAGAATTCAACAATAACGTCTTTGTTCTTCCATATTTTTCTCCAGTAAAGTAGAAAAATAACTCTATAAGGTATAAATCAGAAATATAGTAAAACATTCCAGTTATACAATTTCATTATGGAGGAAAGGGAAAAGTAGACATTACGTCATATAAACATTTTTATTTTTCTTTTCCATAGATAGATTTGTCTTTAATAAGTCCAAATAACAAAATTAAATGGCATATATGTAATGAAACACTACTGAAAATTGTGCTTGGGTAAGTGTTCCAACATAATTCTATTATGCCTAAAATAGTCAATTTTAAAACAGTCTTATACTCTGTACACCATGCAATATAAGGTAATGTGTGGTAGTACCATACATAAAATTGATAATGCAATGATCTGCTAAATGTAATACCAATGAAATTAGCAGCAAACATAGGAAGAATAAACAATTGACTCATTGTAGACATATCTACTTTCTCTTTCTTTTTTAACTGAGGCTGTAAGCTTTTCTCTAAATGCTTTAGTTTTGCATATGATTTCATATACTGTATCCACCTTGATGCACAATAAAGTAAAGTCAATATATGCAGCAATAATAACGATGCATGGAAGTATGGATGAACAAAAACATGCTCTGGCAGAAATCTCCAATTTACAGTCCACTTGAATTCAAAAACTCTCCCAAAATTAAAAGCACCTTTAATGTATGAAAGGGCATTATTGAGTATAAAAGGTAGACCTAATATTAACTGAATTGTAGCGCACACAAATAGATGTGCTATAGTTTTAAGTAAACCTAGATTATATAAATAAGCTATAAGAAGTGCAGGTGCAAATAACAAAATGTTCATTTTTATGGACACAGCTAAGCTATAGAGAATACTTCCTAGATACCACCGGTCATCCAAAAATGCATTAAGACTTGCAAATAACATTACCATTGCAACTGGGTCATTGAAAAGCCTCAAAGTAAATATAGAATGGATCCTATAAGACGTACAACACATAATAATCAAAACATAAGGCGGAACTTTCTTAGTTTTCGCATAAATTCGGAAAACTAATAGAAGTAGTATTATGTAGAGAATTGCAAAGAAGTATTGAGCTATTTTTATCTCTGCTCCGTGTCCCGTGATGTAGTATAGTGCGGAAAATATATAAACAAATCCCGCAGGGTAGACTAATGGTCCAGTGTCACCTCTCAATTTCGAATAGTCCAACGTTCCGTTCAAGAAGCCTTCGACTTCTTGCATATATGCTTTCCAGTCAATTTCTGTGTATGGCACTCGTTCGATAACCAATATGTTTAAGATTATTTCCAGAATAATAAACACTCTTCCAATTAGGAATAGTTTCCTTGGATCGGTGAATAAAGAAGTAATTTTCCCCCATTCTAAATAATTTTCGTACCAATTCTTGGCGCTTTTCTTTGATGATTTCGCCGAATTAAGGTTCGATCGAAATTCTCTGCGCGGCGCCATATTGCACATGTGCTATCTTTCATAATTTTATTTATTACTTTTATGATTATCACCCTTTAATTAGTGACACCATCTAGCAGCAACAGTGGGAATTATTTTCACTACAAACTTGGGCGTTTTGCCACCGATGGCGCCACTGGTATTAAAACCCGCTCACTGAGCAGCTCAGTGTATTGAGTAGGGATTCTACATAAAAGAATTACGAACATGAACTAATTCCGAACTTTAACAACAAGATAATTTGTTTAAACAAGAACAATTAAATAAGCCTAACAATTTGAATACAAGGAGCTGATTGGAAACACGTTTGAACTGAATGACGATTGTTAAGAAAAATGAATTACGCGATAAAAGAAAACGTAATTAAAAACCGCTACGTTCAAACGCAATAGCCAATTACAAACAATTATCAATGTGAAGTATGAAACATGTATGAAGAACTATTCCCACAAAACCCCACAAACGCCGCTCACTGAGCGGTGTCCTTTCTGAGTGCACCTATTGGTTCGCTACATCGATTACAAACTTGAAACCTTCAACTTCAAGCATTGTCCTTCAAGTCTGTGATAAAAACAAATACGATGTATAAGGTTATGTTTAACCCAAATGTCACTCATTTACGCTATTTATTTAAAGTGAATCTTAAAAGTACGAAATGCCTAACCAATTCTTTCCATACGCGTAAGTGTTTTAGGTATTAAATGCAGTATTAGATTAGTAAATAATGAATCTCTCATTATAGAATATCAAATATTATTTGCAAACAAAGATAAAACTGAAAGTCCTCGATTGCGTGAATTTAGGAAAAAGTTGAGAGAACGTACACCTATAGGTATATTAATGTGCAATAATGAAATGTCTGCAAAATTGTGAGGAAATTGTTAATAAATCGATATAATTTGACGTATAACAGAAGAACTAGAAGAATTAGAGGAAGGAAAACATCCTTATCAAGAAAAAGAACCATTAAAACCATTTCCAAATAATACGAATCCAAAAACAGGCGAAGTAGGAGGACCAAAAGGGCCAGAACCAACTCGATATGGTGATTGGGAAAGAAAAGGACGAGTAACAGATTTTTAAATATGGCTAGGAAAAAATATACGCTATAGTTATTTAATAGGATGTGTAAATAATGAAATAGGAACATATTTTAATAAATTAAGAATGAAGTGAATATTGCGTGTATTGTTTTTAAATAAATGAAAGATTTTACTTTGAAATATTAATTACTCCCAAAAATTAATTCATACTTTCAATATTTTGAATATCTCTAGTTATTTGAAATATAACAAAAGAATTAATACTTTTTAAGCCTTTAATTTTTTCACTAACCATTTCAAGAAGAGAAACAAACACGGATATTTGTAAATTAGAACTGACATCGTATTATCATCAAAATGTTGAATTATGTCAATAAAATATCTATGAAACCATTAATGTCTAGAACTAGACAATTCTCGACAAGTATGAAACATATAATATTATTGTTTTGATATTTTAATATTTAATTTTTTTTTACAACACTTAGGTGTTTTGTTGCAAACCAAAGAATCAGATTCAAAAGCTGAAAAAGAAAAATCTGCGCGAATGAAACAGTTTCATAAAAAACTGAAATTGCAGCCGATACCAAGTAAGCAAAGCATACTATATTTGACTAATAATTGAAATCAACATGAAATATGTATTACATAAATTACGAAATATGAAAGCTATAAAGAAAATTAAACCATAGGAGTTCCTCCTAAAGAACGTTTCGTGGATTTGGTATTAGTAGAAACTGATCCAAACAATGGTGAACTAATAACGAATAGCGAAAAAGATCCAACAAAGTGGGGAGACTGGCAAAATGGTGGACGGGTGAGCGACTTCTAAATCGGAAACTGCATTTCGTTCATAAATTTCATTCAAATTGATAATTAAATGTAATTTTTCATTACACGCACTCGACTATAAATACACATGTTATTATGTAAATAATGATTTTATTCCCATACAAACAGATTATATTATTTCTACTCATGTCACATGTTTTTGGTAGCAAATATTTGATACATATATTCAAAATTACAGTTTGTAAAGAATTTTTCTACAGAATTTTACATGGTAAAAATTATTTGCATATTTCATTGTTACAAGGTTAGGAGCACTATCCATTGAAGATATTAAAAACATAATGTTACAAAGTTTCGAGTGATTACCGATTTACTTTTTTTTTCCTATAAAAGTCTCGTAAAAAGATGAGTGAAAATATTATTACATTAAAAATACTGAGTGACATGGAAATAGCTTTCACAGATACAATAATGTTGTTACCTACGTCAAATTGTTTTCTAAAGTGCATTATGTTATATTTACATTAGTTTCATGTTACAGTATGAATACAGGAGTTTTTAAGTCACACTTTTATAATGCGCGATACACAAAATACAAAATTCTTTATATGAAAAGTTAAAACTAAAAATAGCGAAATATGTACAAAATGGCGATTCTTACGTTGTAATATTTTAGTTCTACTCCTAACAGATCCATAGGCGATGTATCGAAAATAATGAACATTGCATTTTCACTTAGTGAAAATCATAACATAAAAGAAAAAATTAAAATTAATTTTAAAACTTAATCTTTCGGTGTAAATACTCTGCAGATCTAAAGATATTGTAACGATAAAGTCACTTTTCTAGTTATTTCAAATTACAGATCAGAAATTACTAAAAAGTATACCACAAGTTCAACATACAACTAGAGTTGTAGAATGAAAAGGAAATAATCTAAAAGTATAAATACACTGATATTCAAACAATAATCTTCAGTCTTTCATCTAGCATCGACGGACCTGCGAATTGTAGTTTTAAGGTAGCATCGAATATTAAAGATTATAGATCTTAACGAGTTATAAACTATAAAGTTTTATTGATGGCCAACACATCTCGCATCATCATATTCCTGAGCGTCCATAAGGCGTTTACCACATTTCCATGGTTGCCTACACCATTGCCGAGCCATTCCGCAGGTAATTTTGTCACATCAGGAATTTGAGTGTTATCAGGATTAGCATTCATCTGTTTATCCCAATTTGATATGTACCGGTTTTCTACATTTAAAGCTTCGATATACCTATGAATTTGGTAGAAAAAATGTATTTTTGTGAAAATATATTATTAATACTATTAATAGTTACAATGCTCTTACCGTAAATAAGCATCTGAATGTAATACACGACTTGGTCTCGGAGGAACAGCGACAAACATTGGCTCCGGTTGTTTAGTAGTAGGTACGCTATTTGTTTGCGTCGCGGCTGCCGATGTTTCTATAACAAAGAAATCTGTATGTAACAAAAAAAAAAATACTTTTGTTGTAAATACTAATCTGGGATTAAGAACCAATTACCTGTTTCCATTGGCGGTAGTATCGTTGGGCCTTTCGATGCCATATAATTTCTATAACAAAAAAAAGTGTAAACATAAATTTCTAAATTAAGGAGTACATCTTGATAACATAGCAATTTTCGATATCTTACTTGCTTCTTTCCGTAGGAGGTATAATGCGCCCATTTGATTTAAGAATATGTACTTCTTTAACGTGCCTTGCTAACCTCTGTACACTTGGGAAGGGAGGTACAGATTTCTTCGTGCGACCGCATCCTCGCCATTGACATTGATACTCTACATCTATTAAAAAATTAATTTCAAGGCCTCAAAACTTCATTCACCTTAAATAGTATTAAACATGACGGACTTACCGCTAGCAGCATTAGAAAAGGACGATTGCACATGTCCATTTTGTTCAGCGATACAATGATCGATACAATCGGTCATATCTTCGAATTGCCAGTCGCAATTGTCCCAACAACATTCGTATACTACATCTTGCAAGGAATTTGTACCCACTGAAACGGATGTTCCTTTAAGCTGTCCTCCATCCTCGTTCATTTTAATCGCTCTTTCTTCCCAAGCTTGTTTCTCTCCTGCAGGTAATTTTCTCCACTGAAATGGAAAAAATATTTATTTTCAAAACATTTTGATACTCTTTAAAAAGTCAGTTTTTCAAACCTTTTTCGTGATTGTCGTAAGAAAATGGCCAAAGAAACTGTTTTCTAACATGGCTACTTTCCATGTGTGATTGAATATTATGTAATTAATTTATAATATGTATTAAGATAATAATAATAATTAGAGGTTAAAAGAATATGATGAATGAAATATATACTTATAAAAAATATATTAAGTATGCATAGCATTTTAATATCTAAGTCATTCTACAATTCGCATATAATAATTTGTGTTTAAACGATAACGTTTAGTATTAACGACAATAACATTTTTGACGGTAGAAACGTGGATAGTAGCCTCGACAAAAAAGTTGCACGCTTGAAGAAAAGATTAAGCATGCAGAATGATGTATTTTCTTTAAAGTCGTTAAGTTTCTTCCGATGCTATGTTCGGAAAATTGAATCTGCATACTTTCCTTCTTCAATGGATTCTTATAGTAAACTAAAAATCAACAGTAAAAAATAAATAAATACCTCGTTGCCAACAATTCTGCTAATCTCCCCAAAGGATGAGTCAGGATTGTTTTGTGTAATCTGCGTTCGCATTTTACTCGAATATAAAATATAGCCCGTAACTAATTTCTTACCCGCCGTTTTCTAAACAGAGGAAAACACAAATTATAATGCCACCGTCTCATGAACAAATCTTGATATTATACCCTTAAGATAAAACATCTAATTGTCGTTCTATAATATTAGGTAACGAAGTTTTTAAACGGTGCACAAATAAAAAAAAAGGTATGCTGGCATATTTCTCTAAACAAAAACAAAAATGAAATAAATAAAATGCAATATGTGATCAAGTTGTAAGCAGATAATGTCACGATAAGGCCTACCTTCTTAGTCGACACAGGAGTTTGAGTATTGGAGAGCACCGGTTGAGCTTCTGCAGATCCAACGGACGGTGGACCACCAGCATCCATGCTGTCCTCCCCAACTCCTACTCCTACTCCCACTCCTAATCCTACTCCCATGCCTAGCACATCGGGTTCCAGCTTCGGTAACAATGGTGATGCTTCCTATACCATTTATGTTACGTTCAGTATCCGTTACCGAATGTGATATCATGAATATTTTTTTCAATTGTTTGTATCGGTATAACAATCTTCTTTAATGCTATTAACTACATAAATCTTCCCTAGCTAAATGTATCGCAAGGTGTAGTACTCATGATTAGAGGTAGTAGATTTAACTTCACTATAAATCATCGCGACGATGTACTGCGCATTATTTACAGCATACTATTCGATACTAACACAATATTTAATTTTTTAATGCTTGATTTTAATTCCTCTAAAGTATTCTAAAAATCTGTATACTTAAGTATTAGTACTGTATGTATTATCATTGAAGCAAAATGTTTAATTTTTACGCTATTTGGGTTAGAGTGACATGGAAGCGACTTTTTGGTGGTATTCTATGTATATCATATATACATGACATATACATATATGTATGTATTAGCGATAAACCCAACAGGTGCTCTGAATTTAAATCCATGAAAAATAATTGCTTGTCCTATATAAATAGTATATAAACAAAAAAAGTAATTCCACAACAAATATGTAAAGAAAAAATTAATAAAATAAATAGAAATAAACAATGAATATGCCGGCATAGAATGAGAAACATGCTCAGATACAAAGTGATACAAGGTCTTCATCACACGCAAATCATACTCTTATATCAAACAAAATGTATGATCCTAATTTAGTCTGATTACACTTTGCAACACTAATAATTATGAGCTTGCGTATGACTTTAAGGGAACATGCATCTTTGTTATATTGTTGATAGAGAGATAAGAAATTTATAAATAGAAATTACCATTTCAAATTGAGCCGAACTAGGAGTAACAGACTTGACTTGATTTTGCGTCTGAGCCACGTCACCTGGAACCTACAACACACACATCACATGCAAAGCAATGAAATTCAGTTAGTTGCATATCAAAGTAATAGGCTACGTATTGTTATCGAATTATTGCGTAGAATGTTAGTATAAATGATTGAATTTTATACATACTTTAGCAGGATTAATTGGCCTTCGGAAGAAGTAAATTTCATCTTCGGTTACTGCTGAGCTATGATTGAATTTTTTTAAGCCTTCTTGCCCAAGTTTTTTCATGAGGCTCTTACTTTCATCGTACAATGATTCACAAATATATATATCGTCCTCAGGTATTTCCGTAGGTCGACCTATAGTAACATACAAATTTAATTTCGATATCGTGATAAAATAAATACTTTTTACTTTTATATTCTGTTTCCTACTCACTGCAAATATATTCTCCAAAATCAAGGACGGCACATTTTCCAACGATAGCCACGATAGGATGGGTACCATCGACGGTAGATAAGAAAAGTTCTTGTTTATAAAATAACTTATTAGGGGCATGTGGTATTTCTATAGGCATCAACAACCATGGACCTTTGAAGTAACACTTTCCACTAAAAAATTAAGTAATTTTAACAAATACATAAGAAGATCAATTAAAGAATGTAGATTATTTGTTCTTTTAATAATAAAATCAATTGCTTACTCTTTGGTTGACCATATAGCGTCAATTTGTGCGATTTGTTGTCTACCTCCGTCTGTTGCTACATATACAAAGTCTCCAGTTTTTACAGAACCCGCACATGTATTATACTGTTCATAGTAGGTATTCTCTGTATCACCCGGATTATATAGTATTACATTCTACGAAGTAGAACATGTTAAGTAATAATCCTTCCAATAAACATCCGAATCATATAAATATTATAAATATAACTTACAGGTTTCTCCTTTTCGGTCAATTTTTCTCCTTCCTCTAATTCCGCGATTTCTTCTTTATGTTTTTCTAGCCTTTCCTTGTACACTGATATTACTCGCTTTGGTTCTAATGGTTTGTCTCTTGAAACTAGTTTTAAATGATCTGGATCAAAATTCCAGACCTTGATTTTTTTGAAAGCTCTCGCTTTTGTAGAATACCGTGACTCGCATACGTAAACATCTTTATCTAAGAAACCTTCTGGTTGCATTCTAAAATAATCCTTAACACTTAGAACGCAACACCTGCCGGCTACTTTGACCAGAGGTACAGCTACGTGAGCGTCACTTTTAAATAATTCTTTATCGAGAAATTTTCTAGAAGCTACATGATAAGTTTCACTTGGTCTATAAAATAAATTTCCATATAACATTTGCTGTCCCTCCGCATTTGTCCATAAACGTTCTATAAGAACAACACTATATTCCATCCCTCGTTCTGTAGGTTCAACATATGCAAAATCACCAGCTCTATATACTTCTTGATTAAAACTCATGGAGCCACCGTTATCACTATTGTTTCCCTCTGTATTATTAGCACTCGTTTCTGAATCCTAAACAAACAGAGAACATCAAAATAAATGAAATTATTTTGCCCTCTACATTACTTTTATGATAGAAAATACTGCATACTTTTGTCTCATTCCCATCACAACTTTCCTCTTCATTAGGTAATGCTAGTTCTTGTTGTTTCTTTAGACGTTTCAATTCTGCAACTTGAGCAGACAGATCCAGTAGAGTATAATTAAGTGCTGGTGAATGTAACAAATCTCCACCACGAGTTACTTCGTCACGAGTTCTTAAAAAAAATGCTTGAAGCTCTACACTATCTTCAAAAGGTTGTGAATCTGTACGTGACAGCCTCCTGGCTCTTTCTAAACACGTGAATACATCTTCTTGGAAACGATCCAATCGTTTGTAAGCTCCACGATCTAATCTCCTTTTAATTAAGTCTAATGATAATCCTCGTACCCTGTTATTTGAGATAGAATAAGTTACAGAAAATCAGTAAGAGAAAACATAATTAGGTACTATTTAATTTAAATTAAGAAAAACATACTTTTTTCCATCAATAATATCGTGTTCTGGAAGTTCTGCCATAGAGTCCGAATAACATCTTCCTTCTTCATCTTGGTGATTGTAAAGAGCAGTAAAAATAGTTGCCAATATTTCTTGAACTGCAGCAGATACATCTGGCACACTCTCTTCATCTTCACTTAATTGTAACTTTGTTTGAAGCACCAATCGTTGTAAAATTAGAGCATCCTAGAATATTGTGTCAATTGTTTGTAAATTGAATTTAGAATTTATTGATGCTATCAATTCATATTTATATACTAATGACAAAAATTATTAAAAAGAAATAACAGGTAATAGTCTGAAAAGAATGAAGCATTTGTTTACTTCTGTTTCATTCTTCTTGCATTTTTTTGATAAGCGTTGATCTACTTCATGGTCTCTCAATAAACGAATGAAACAAGGTCGAACTTTTAATGTTTTTGGCGGAAAAAAAATATTTTCTTGATTATTATTGTATCGCTCTTCAGACATTGTGAATAGCAGCACCGACACAAACAATTTGCAAAGAAATCAGAACATTTAAAATAACTGCCTACTAGGCAACAAGCCATGTATTTAATTTATGATTATTAGTTCGATAGGATCGCATATCCGCACCGAGTTTGTTATTATATTTATACATGGATAAAAATCATTCGTTAATTCGTAAAATTCTTATACGAAACCGTACAAAGCACAAAGCTACGACGGAAGCTAACTTCACGTAACCTCAAAAACTATAACCGTAAACAGATCAGGCTTTCCATGTTTTAGCGCGAAATTTCAATTCGACTTCCGACTTACGAACTGTTGTTTTCATACATCGCGAATTATCTGATCATTTTATGTAATCATTATTAAATTAAGCTACAAACATAATATTAATAACTATCTTTCAATATATTTTAGGCGTTCTTATTAAGCAATATGACAGAGACTATCAATAATTATTATAAATGAATTACTTATGTTTTGAAAAGATGAATCTTTTTTTAGATCAAAATTATAATTAATAATTATCATGATCTCTAATTTTTAATTAAATAAAAGTCTTTAAAACTAAAGTTACTCTTCAAAAGTATTCTACTGTTTAGAATTCTTATTTTATTTCAAGTAGGTATTAACAATACCGTATACGTGCAAGTATTTATATCTATATACAAACCTTGTATATTTGTGAATCGGGTTCATTGTATTTGCAAGCATTATCAAACATTAATACATAATCCGACACGAGTTCTTCTAAATTCTCGTAGCCATTATTTTTTAAAGTTGAAGCTATTTTTTCCATGTTCATAGGTTGTTTAATGACTTCGTAATAATCAGGATACTCATTCTTATTTGGCAATTTCATAAAAATTAAAGATAACTGTCTTCCTTTCGAATCATGATAATCTTTTATAGTGTCATACATAGTTTTCAACTTTTGTAAATGCAACGGTACCTTTTTGGGTCTCCTGTATTGTTTAAAAATATATACCATGTACAACTTACCGCTAATAAACCTTTGCAATTTTTTTTGTAATTATTCATACGTTCAAATATTACATACCCAACGTTTCTAGTTGGCGTAGACGCGCTTGATTTCGTAGGCTTAGGCGTTTCTGGTAGAGGACCCAATTCTTTTACTTTGTCCATTAAAACTTTTTCCAATGTATTTGCATCTTCGTATATTAAAGAACCTTCTTCATTGTATTGACGACAATTATTGAACATTAACTGAAAGTAAATAAAATAAAATAAAAGGGGAATCAACAATCAAAATATACAATATGCGTACCTTAAAATCTTGTATTAATTCGTTTTCGCTTTGATATTTCTCTGCTTTAATATTAGCTTCTATAGCTAACATATCGATAGGTTCTGCTATTACTTGATAATAATCTGGATACAATTTTTTTGAAGGCTTTTCCATGAACATTAGCATTGGTTGCCGTCCATCTTCGCACTGTGACATAACAATATCCTCTGTATTGATAAGTTTCAGTTTTAACAATTCATGTTGGAATTACTTACAACGTATTCTATTACGCATTTGACTAATGCATATAATCTCTTTTTCAATGGTATGTTATCCTTATATTTTCCACGAGTCAACAGATTCGAAGCACGCTTAATGAGTTTAGGCTGATGAGAATTATTTTCGAATTCGCTATCTGAATCTGAATCCTATGAACATAACAAATATAAAGTTAATAGTAAATTTATTTGGACTAAATCTACCTTTACCTCGATAAAATGTCATTCACCTGATCGAATTCTAAGAGTTCTTGTACTTTCTCTTGCATAATTTTTTGTAGTTTCACAGCACACTACAAAAATACACCGCAAAATATAAAAATAAAATACATGACACTTTTTACTGTATCATCGTTTATTACCTTGTATAGTCTAGATGTATGAATATTATATTTTTTTGCATTTTCAAACATAATATTCATATCACCAGCCACTTCGCTAACGGTACCATATTCACCTTTCTGTAATAATTATAAATTTAATAAAAATAACTTGTAAAATGAAAAATATTTTTATTGACTACCTTTATCTTAGTGCGAATTTGTAACAAAGAAATAGGATTTTTAATCATTTTGTAGTAATCAGGGTATAATCTCTTCGATGGCAGTTTCCAAAAATATTCACTCATTCTAACTCCTACATAATTAAAAAGGATTATAGTATTATTATAAAATATTATTCAATACAGTAGTATAATATTATAAACAAATGCTTTAAGGAACCTTGATTATTAGGTGCCGTTCGGATAGTTTGAAATAGCTGCCATTGAGGATTGTCAGCCTCTTCGGTTTCTGCAGGCTCTTCCTCTTCGTCATCGCTTTCTTCATCTTCGTTTGGTAATGATGCTGTCTGAGCTATTAAGGACTGCGCCATAGTGCGACTACCTCTTTTACTTCGCGTCGATGGCGCGGTCGTTGTCATTTTTTGAATATTGCTACTTAATCCAGTATCCTGTTTTCTTGCTGCTGCAGTAATAATCTTTTTCAAAAGCTTAGCATCTTTATAGATTTGAGAACCGGGTTCGTTAAACTGACAAGCGTTACGACACATTAACATTAAATCTTTTTCCATATCCCCAACATTACTATAGGCTGCTTCCTGAATTTTTCTCGCAACTGTTTTCAGGTCTACTGGCGTCTCAATTACATCGTAATATTCCGGATATAACTGAAAATGTAATATCGTCCGTATGATACATTTGTTACAAAAAAATTATACATAATACTTGAGTGATAAAAATTTATCAAACTTTTTTAGATGGTTTAAGTTGAAACATTGTATGTAACGGCCTATTGTTGTCAGCTGGATCTGTTGCTGTCATAACTGCCGCGAATAAGTCTTCAAAAAGTTGTATAGTTTCTTCATCAGGATTTGTAGAACTTTCGGATGTGTCTTCTGCGTCGTCTTGTTTTGTTGCTGCCTTCCGAGCCTATATAACGAACATTACATTAATCTTTTATAGATTAAACATTGCACATAATATACATCAAGCTTACCAATCGCGCTACTTTTAGTATAAGCTTTCCTTTAGGCTCTGGGTCTTCGTATTCTTCCATAATACGATTTTTTGTATTTACACATAATTCCCAAAGCTCTGTGGCATCTTTATATTCAGGAGATGTACGCTGTGTTTAGAAAATAATTCTAGTAGTTTGTCCTTTAACTTAAAATGTGCATATACGTATAAGATGTTTAATAATTAAAAGTTGATGTATATTACCATGTAAAAAGCTTTAGCATTATTAACCATAAGTTGAATATCAGATGCTAAATCATCCATATCTCTATACTCATCGGTTTTTAGTTTCTGTTGAACCTTTAACAGGTCTATAGGATTTGTTACAACTTCATAATAACCAGGTTCTTGTCTACGTTTAGGCACACGTATAAATGCATCACACAATAATGTTCCATCTTCCTTTTTCTGATTACGTAGTACATCGTACAATTGTTGGCATAAATCGCTCTATAGGTGTTGAACCAAATAGTTATTGTACTTTAATGGTTAATTAAATATTATATTTGTTGCTATGTATGGATTTACAGCAATCCACACCACTTACAGGATCTAATTTTTTTCTTCTCTTTGTCGGTTCAGGAGGTATATCGTCACCATCATCCTCTGTACCCCGACTCGCAACCGAAGAGGTTCTGCGTCGCTTGTTCATCTTGAATGATCTTAAAAAATATGAAAGACAAACATATGGTAAAATACAAATAACACCAATACCTTCTCCCAATATGGAACTACTGAAACATAATTCCACATTCAAGTCATAGTGTCACTGTAAAGAGTGTACACAAAAAAACTCTTCAATTAGATGTTATGTCTGGCTAATGCAATATAATTACATCACTTAAAACACACAAAACCGGAACGTAAACGGAAATCTTATAAAATGAATTTTCCACACAATATATCCATTTACTAAATATGTTACTTCACAAAGAAATTCCTTTGCGTACGTATTAGGTATGAAACTACTCGAGATACACAACTGCAGTCAAGAAAATTTCGCCGCCATGATATGTCGCCACTGTGCTTTAAAATGCAGAAATGCATAATGTTTCAATTTTTCTATGCAAAATTGGAATAAAACACACTTTAGGTGGAAATTCAACAGAAAAATTACCACACGGTTACATTCGAACGTCTAACGAAACGATCGAAGGGTATCACAAAAATTTACGATAAATGTCCGCCTAACTAAGATTTGCCGCCATATCAAAACCTCACTGCATCTTTAAATTCCGTTCATTTACCAGTACTATCATTTCTCTCTGCAGACGCTCGTGTTACCGTTCTCTGGAACTCTCACCTGTCGTTAAAATTTGTACAAAAAGCTTTTCATTAATATACAACATGTAAAATGAAAGTGTTATAAACGTTGTATGATTTTCATCTGTAACGTACGATGACACACGACTTGGCGAACGCCATGCCGTAAGCAATCCGCGGGTTTATAATCACACGAACTGTACGATCCTATAGCCAGAAATAGAGACTACTTCATATGCCCTTTCGTGTACAAACTCTCTCAGTCGATAAAATGAATTTCTGATGCATCGTAATAAAAAACACTAATAATAACAAATAGCTAGCATTTGCACAGATCTTTCTTGATATTAGTTTGAAATATATCAAATTCCTTACTTTCAATAGCCGAAACTACTAGTTGATAATTTTAAGATTATTACTTTAAAATTCATTTTTCTTTTTAGACATCCAAAAAATAAAAAAGTTTTTAAGTTATTACTATCTGAAAAATACATTTTACCATTCTGCAGAAACGTTTTTGTATTTTTAGGCTAACATTATCTATTTACTTTCGAATTTTCGCGGCTGTCTAGTAAACGATTGTTAGATGTACATAACATATCGATACGATTCGATATTTTCGTATATATATGATACTTCGATAGTGCGTTGTGCCGACTGCGAACTGCCACCGACTGCGATCTAACCAGCCATTTTACTTTACGTCGAATCAAAATCTGTAAGAACAGTAAGTTTTCATACATTCCACTCTTTAATTAATTTTACGTATTAACAATAACTATTACTACATTCGTTCTATACTAAAATATTGAATCTAATAAATCCACTTACGTTTTACAAGAATCTTTCTTAAATCGATTTTATAAAATACTGTTCTGTTAGGTAATCATTGTATTCGACAATCGATACGTAATATTATTAAAAATGAGATATTTCTATGAATCGAAATAAGTATATTAAATATTGAACAATTTAACAATCTTCTCACCTTTTTCATCGGAAACTTTATGTCACATCAATCGTTAACATAATTTTTTATATTATATATGAAAGAAAATTATAGTACAGTAAACTATATTTAAACTTATTTTGAATTGAAAAAATTGGTGTATTGTTTCAGCTTACAATGGCGAGCACACTGATCCGTTCATGCTTACGTCAAAATATTCCAATGCACATACGTAATATGTCTGCAATTGAGTTTCCAGACAAAATTGGTAATAGGGACGTAGTAGGTTTTGGATATAATGGAACCGAATCTTACATGGATAGAACTGATTACCCTATGCCTGCTATTCGTTTCAAAGCAAATACTCCAGATGTAATGGTAAAGTATTGCTCTTTGTGTATCATTTTTTGAACATGCTGTACATTAATTTCAACATCTCAATAATCTTAATATCACTTCTACATAGGCATTAAGAGAGAAGGAGAAGGGAGATTGGAAGAAATTATCTATCGAAGAAAAGAAACAACTATATCGTGCTAGTTTTTGTCAAACAATTGTTGAAATGCAAGCTCCAACGGGAATATGGAAAGGATGCATTGGATTAACACTTATGGGTGTGGCCTTTAGTATTTGGATATTTATGTTCCTTAAAACCTATGGTAAGCTGAAACAAAAATAAGTAATATATACTAATTATTTTACAAACCTAAAGTCTTTATACTTTCTACATTTTTTCTATTACACTTACTAAAGTAGTCTAATTTAAGAAACATCCTACTTTAGTTGTATTAAAAATTATTTTAAATTTTACAGCATACCCACCATTGCCAATAACATTTGATGAAGAACACAGGCTCGCTCAAATGGAACGTATGATATTGCTTGATGTTAATCCTATCACAGGAATTAGTGCTAAAAAATAAATTTGTATTAAAAATATAGTATGAAAAATGTATCATAAAGCAACACTTATTTAATAAAATTCTATGTACAGTCAACGAAAAGAATTAAATAAATTAAGCGTTGCTATTCGAAATTAACGAGTTGTACTAAATGTCTACTCCAAATACATTTAAAATATAGACTTCATATGAAGACTTTATCCTGAAAAATACTGTAATTTATTATGATAAATATATTTATTTAGTTTATCAAATACTTATTAATATATTAATTACATACATATTTTTTTATAATTAACTGTTTATTATTTTGAAAACTAAGATTTTAGACACGAAGTATAATTATGCTATAATACAATACTATAAAAATAGTGACAATGATACAAAGAAACCTCTTATCACTGTTTATTAAATTTTCAGTACTTACACATTTTTTAGTCATTTTTTAAGACAGACAAGCATAAATCACAAATGTTTAATAATAAAGTTTTACGAAAGTTTGATCCCAATTAAAAAAATGTAATAACTTTTGTAAACTAGTTATCTGTAGTAATAACAATAATAATAATTACATAGCTTTGAGAATGTAAAATCGACATTTTAGTGTTCACAGAACCATACATAGATCCATATATAGACACATACATGTATCGCATATGTGTATTATAACAAGCAATTGACATTCTAATTCTAAAATTGAATCACAGCTTATAATGTTATTTATGAACAACGTTTCACTCAATAATGTACAGAATACTGCGAAAATATTATACAACTTGAAGGAAATTGAATACTAGTGGCTTTTTTTTATCTCTGCACTCGAATTTAATGGGAGACACTGCCTGAATTATATTACAACTTGTACTAACACAAAATGCAATCCGGATAAAGAATCTTAATTGGTAATTATTCATTATTAATAGACGCAGTTATTTCTTCTCCTAAATCTGAAGAACACAAAATTTATTTACTGAAGAACGGAATGTAACGTTTAATAACTTAGATACAAGACAATTTAACAGTACAATATTTGGAGTTTTCAGTGATATCAAGGCCTTTCTATGTATTGTCATATACAAAATTTTTTGAAATATTGCTCAGTTTTTAAAAATTAATAGAGAATATTTCTATATTAAACATGTTTAAATGCAATGTCTGATTCGTGCAGTGAATTCATTTGATATTAGATCATGACGTATCTATGCTTACTATTACTTGATAATATAAAAATAATGTATTATTATTCAGGGGAGACTAAAAATTACAAACTAGTATTACGAAATCAGCAAATTTGTATAAAAAGTAAAGCATTATGCACAATTACTATTTTAAAGAACACACTGTAAAAATCTAAAGTGTATTTTTTTTCAGTGATGAGTTAGTATTTTCAAAAATATTTTTATTCAAAATTTGTTGATCACCAGCACACGAACTTATAATTTTATTTAAATCCGAAAAGTATACCAAAACATTTTCACAACAATACTGGACTTACATATTACAGAAAAAATAGATAATTCTCACATAGTCATAGGCATATCCATGACTTAAAATGATAAAATTATTGTAATAAACACTATTGTAGGTACGTACAAAATAAAAAAAATTCAGTAGGTAACTCTTAGACTTATTTTTCTATGTTTGATAATGTATATTACAATATTTACAATAGGTAAGTCCCAATATCACCAATTTTTCTGTCATCCCTTTGTTATAAGAATATAGTTCCATATAGAAAACTAAGTCTTTATCATCATTATTAGAGCTTGTTTTACAGCTTCATGAAATCTTTAAGAAAACTGCACTGTAAATAATCTTTGTATATATCGTTCGTATTATATAAATGTATTACAATGAGTTTATCATGTTTATGAACACAATTGCTATTCAAAAATTGCAATAAGCTTGTAATTTTATAAAGAATAATTAATAAAATATTATACAATTTTGTTAACGTTGTTTGTAATATGTGCAGTAATGCAAAGATGAAGTAGAAACTAAACCAATCTATATTACAATTCTGTACGTCTTTGGTATGTAAATTTCCGTACAGAACACAAAAATGTTTTTGGTGAAATGAAGAACTTAACTACATTCGGGGCACTTACTCGTCCCTATGAAAAAGAAAAGAAACGTTAGAGTTTATCAACTCTTCTTCGTTATAGACATTGAGCCCCTCTGTACACTAAAGTGGAAAGGATAATTTAGATGTGCGATGAAAGTTAATTAATGTCTTTTCACCACACGATTATGATACTGAGCTCGCTACTTAAATAATAAACAAAGTCCAACATTATTTTGCACGTTTCATCACCGTACACAATCACGAGGTGTAATGCACTGTTTTTTTCGTTTTACTGTTTGTGGCCTTGAACTTGGACTGTGACTATTGTTATTGCTTCCGTTACTATGAAGAGAATGTTTCGCTTTACTTTGTCCACTTATATTATTGTTTATTCCGCGATGATAATTTCCTCTGGAACTGTGATGGTGATTACCTGTAACAATTAAGAAATTAATATCTTTATATCAAAAAACTTAAATATTAATGATGTTGAAATAATCGTACCAGTTCCTTTAAATGGCTTTTTCCACTGTAAATGATGATGAGTATGTTGATTATTATATACATGTCTTTCTTTATTCCTGTCTTCATCTTTACCACCAGTGTTAGGAGAATTACCGCGGCTACATTCAGAATCCTTTTAATATAGAAAGTAAGAGTGTAATTAATTTGTAACAATTATTATTTTATATGTAAGTAATTATAATTTTATACCGTATCACTAGCTGGAGCGGAAAGGGTTGATGCATCAGATCCAGTTGAACTTGACAGTGAATCTACCTCGCTTAAAGGTAGCGGGAATGTTTCCTTAATCCACTTACGATATTCTATTACTTCATCTGTCACGCGAATTATTCTCCCTAGTATACTAAATACGATACATTTTTAGAAAATACGTATAAAATATTATCAGACAATATGTAAACAATTATTACATGTATAAATAATCTCACCTTACTTTATTTGCATCGTTAACTAAAATATTTAAAGGACTAACTGCTTGTGAAAGGACATAATAAGCCCAATCAAATGCATCTTTTACGTACAGTGCACCATAACTACTGCGGCCGATATCATTTCCAGGCGTAAGTGGATCTTCTATGCACAATAAAGAAGGTCGATGGCCATCTATCATATCTCGTTGAACCTAAGTAATACAACCCAGTTAAACATATACACAATAATTTCTAACAATTCTACTTTCTTTCAAACATTGTTTAAAATATTCCAAATACTGTTTTGTCAAACTGTTTTTTATAAAATTAATTATTTCATAAGGACATACTTTACCTCTTCCTTCGATATGTAAGTACCGCCATCTTTTACACGAATTCCTGTTTTAACATAATTAAACTTCCTACCATATAGTTCCAAAAATTCTATTAGCAACACCCCAAGATTAGCACTTGAACAATAAGCATTTTGCCTGGGATGTAACTGAAATAAAATTTGTTCTGTGTGGTAGGGGAATCAATTTTTAATTTGTAATATCATAAAATATCTTTCATAAAATTAATTTTACAGAATACAACTGTTAAGCATTGAATTTTTTATTTTATCGCATTACTAAAAATGTTTTTAAAAAATGTGAATAAACACATACCTGTAAAAAACTGATAGTCATAAGTATTAAACTGTATGAGGAAATTCCACCGGTAAAAACTTCATTCAGGTCTCTTTGTAACAAGAATTGCTTTAATACCATAACTAGCTTCTCCAGCACTGGGTACCGCTTCTTAAAAGAATTGATCAAATCTGCAGATTTAACACCATTATTCATATTAAAACTGATGTCTACTTTAATTTCAGTTTCTTTATCGGTTAACTTGACAATGGGTACACTAGCTTTATCCAAAACTTTAATAGAAGATGGTTCTGCAATATTTTGATCCAATAAAGCACGTTCCAAAGTACGTAATGGAAGATTCATCCACATTCCTATTACTACTAAATCTATATCACTGAAAGAAAAAGTAAAAGATAAGAACTAATGATGCTTACAAATTTTATGAGATATTAATTAATTTCATGATTTTTAAGAAAGAATCAATATTTTCATAATTAACTGTATATATGATATAAAACTGATTGAAAAAGTACTATATATTTTGCATGTGAACACATTACTAAATACATTCTGTTTTAAATATGTACAGTGATACGTACCTTGTAGGTAAATATAAACCAGTGCGAAAGCTGCCAAATATTTCAACCTTAGAATCTGGCCAGAGATCATATATTACTTGTTCTATCCTTTTGACAACACGCATTCGTAAGCTATGTTCTTCATTAGAGGGACACATATAAGCAAAAAAATCTTCAATTTCTTCGTGTAACCTATACATTTGAAAAAAATTAAATATTAGTTCTTTTTTTATTTAAATATATACTTGTGATATATAAATTGTTATATGAACATTAAAAATTCTGTTAAAATTCAAATATTTGCTTTGCAAAAAAATTAGTAATAAAAAGTGATGTTACATTTGTATTCTTCTGAATACTGAAGAAAATAAAAAATGTTTTATATTTTTATTTTATTTCGAGTTAGTTGGAATGAAATTTTAAAGAGTAAATTTAGTTTTAAATTTACAACTCATACATACTACAAACCTAACAATAATTTATATTTTCAATTTTTTTTTTATTTTTTTTTAAATTAATCATGTATTTCAGACATTATACAAGATTTATAAGTGTCAATACATCTGTGTTATACCATTATCACTTACAGTAATGAAAACCATTTAAACACCACCTAGGAGAGGCATTAGACACTTGTTAAACGAAAATATATACTATCGTTTATTATAGTTCAATATCAACATTTTCAAAATTTTGAATAACATGAAATATCATAAATACAAACATAAATACTCGAATTATATAAACATCCACGTGCGCTACGATATCATATTAAACAGATATTAAAATTATATCGTTAAAATTCCATGAATATTCAAGAAAATTTATTGACTAGACGTTATCATGAAATAGTACAGGGTTCATATTTAAAATGAAAACAAGTTTTTATTCATAGGATCGCTAATCCCAAAGTTACCACCCTGATATACCCTATTTGTAAACGAGCGTGCAAGACACATAACCTTAACCATGCCCATATGGACTAATCACTGAAAGCACAATAGCCTAATTTCCAAAGGGTAGATAATAAATCAACATTCGATAATAATGCTCACCCAATAACTCCTTTCGAATAATGTTTATTGGGCACACGCCACGGACAGCCGCCGTATTCTCCGACTAAGGCATCGTAATTGTAGTTCATGCCGTAGGTACTAGCACGATTATCACCTTTCCTACGCGATGGATTATAATAGCTATTGCAAGTGTTATGTTGCATTCGGTCTACCGTACGAGAATTGAGAGTATCCAATGCTATGAAGTCTTGTTGAAGCTTCAGACCCATCACATTTGAAGACGAGTCATTCTTCAACGTTAAGATATCAAGACCTTTCTCAGCTTCCCAAATGTGCAACCACAAATCCTTAGCGGGGCCGAACTGCTCCGGTTGATACCAACCGATAGTCGGATCCATTAAATAGTTCTCGATTCCGTATCTCACGATTAATGGTCTTTGCGCACTACACTACGATTTCAATCTTAATTCAACTTTAATTGAAAAATTGTCTGATTTATTGTAACCTGCGAACACTATGAAATTCATACATACGATCAATGAACAACGACATTGTAGAAGGATACTTCGTGCTCTTGGGTATAGTACGATAAGAGTTCCATGGTCTCGCTATCAGGTGGCTACAAACAATAGCTGATTCTCGCTACTTTTTCCATAAGTTTAACTTTTTTTTCAAAAAGAGAAGTATTTCGATGTCTTTCTATACAAAAATATAATTCATTCTCACATAAGGGATATATATTTTCTTTACACATGAAAATTGGGGAGGCACACTATGTAAATGAACCTTGAGAGCACTGGCTAGATAATCTGGCCGGAGTTTCCCTAATCCCACTTCACTGCACTTCACGCGAGTGGCAATGCTAAGTAGTCAGCTATTAAAGCAATGTAAAAAACACTATCATTATCAATGAACGAAAACGTTTTATTCACAACCCTAAGCTAATTTAGTCTTCCATATAATTTATAAATGCACTGTACTAATTGTTACATAATTTTCCTAATAAACCAGTACAGTGTGGTTAACCAATTAGTAAACCTATCACCGGTGAGTAACGTTTGTTAATATTATCGAAGTTGAATTATTAATTCTTATTATCACAAATACGTTCGATAAGTAAATTACTTCCATAACTTCAAACATATTTAAGTTGTTATCGTATCTATTTTTCGGTTATCGTTTTCTGTTAAGAATTTATTTCTAACTCTCTTAACAAAATGTTTGTTTTCTTTACTTAATCAAACTGTGATAGTAAAGTATTTAAGTAACATAACATCGTTGTTTCTTCTATTTTTATTTATTTTTTTTCATGCGATTGTGTCATTCAACAATTTAAACATTTGAATGTACTTCTGCTTTCAGACATGTCAGAACACGTTGAACTACAACATTTAGTTGATGGCGACGTCGATAGTAATGTGAAAATAAGACAGAAACGATTTTCAGTGTTAATGTGCAAATCGTGCCCTTATCTTGGCTTACTATTGGCAACGTTATCATCATTGTTTTTTTCATTATGTAGTGTCATTGTGAAGGGTTTGGTGGAAGTAAATCCAATGGAATTGGCAGCATTTCGATTTGTGGGTGTATTGTTACCAGCAATACCAATTGTGATATATAAAGGAGAACATCCTTTTCCAAAGGGACGTAGACTAATGCTAATATTAAGAAGTTTTGTAGGGACCACAGGCCTTATGCTAAGTTTTTATGCATTCAGGCATATGCCACTAGCTGATGCATCTGTTGTAGTTTTTTCTGTTCCTGTATTTGTAGCTATATTTGCAAGAATCTTCTTAAAGGAGCCTTGCGGGATATTCAATGTTATTACAGTTTGTTTAACATTGATTGGTGTGATTCTGATAACGCGTCCACCACTTATTTTTGGACATACTATAGAGTCTCTTTCCGATGGACATATAAAAACAGAACATGGAGATTTATGGGGTGCTGTAGCAGCTTTCTCTGCAACTTTATTCGGTGCCAATGTATATGTTTTATTAAGAGCTTTGAAAGGCCTCCATTTTTCAGTAATAATGACAAATTTTGGATCGTTTGCCTTATTTCAGACAATAATTATATCTTGGGCTATAGGTGCACTTTGCTTACCTCGCTGTGGAACTGACAGACTTTTAGTTGTAGCACTTGCTCTTTTTAGTTTTGGGGGTCAAATATTATTAACGTTAGCTTTACAGATGGAACAAGCAGGACCAGTTGCAATAGCAAGGTCAGCAGACATAGTCTTTGCCTTTTTCTGGCAAGTTATATTTTTTAATGAAATACCAAATCGTTACTCAGTTGGAGGAGCAATTTTAGTCACAAGTTCAGTTTTATTAACAGGACTAAGAAAGTGGGCTCTTTCATTACCAGAAACATCTAGTGTTAAAAAATCTTTAGGTATTTTGGTGATGTAAATTATATTTCACAAAGAATAGACAATTTAAAAAATTGATCATACTCTATCATAACATTAAAATTGTGTTACTATAATTGAATTCATTGTAAACGAATGATTTACATGAAGGTAGTCATTTTGGCCTATAGTAATAATTTCATTCATGAAAAATAAACTTCCCTTAATATTTAATATATTAAGTAATAATACTTCTATCATAGTTACAAATGAACTTAAATTACTTAAATTATTTGAATTGCTTTAAAATTACGATACTAAACGCATTAATATAAACATATTGCAGATTCATATAATGAATATTACTACTAATTGTAGGACAATATAAAAAAAGAACAAAATAAATGTATTTTTAGCTGCTCTTCATTTCCTTCTTGGTTTAGTCATTCTAATTTAATATACATATATATGTATATGAAACTATTATGAAGTATAAAATTAAATGATGTAAAATATCACTGGTTATGTACAACTAACACTTAGCAGAAACAAAGTAAATTTAAATCTCTATTACAAAAATAAATTTCACATAATAATAATATCACTACAGAAATATTTATTAAATAATAAATCCATTACTATATTATTGCAATAAAATAGGGGATTTATACTTTTTAGTGTAAGGTACTCAAATTCATGAAAGGTACTTATTCGTAAGATTTCTGAACAAATGTACAGTTACTTTTGTTAGAATAGCTATACCCTTGAAATGTTCTGTTTTATATAAATATGTTTGAAAACATATTGTTTCTTTACAAATTGTTATATTTATACTGTTCCAATGGTTTACTTATTGTTACTATAAAGTCTAGTCTAAAAAGTCTAGTCTCTGTATTACAGATACAGAGTTTTTATTTAACTCCATATGTAATTATTTACAATTATTATTTACAAAATGTACAAAATAACGAAACATTATTTAATTTTCTTATTAATGTACATATTAATATCATAATTTAATTAAAATAAGATGCTAAAAATTGCACAAATATCAACGAATTTTGTAAATTTATTAGCGTGTCCATCTTAAATTTTCAATTACAATAATCGTCTATGTTTTCGTTCTTATATAAAATATTATGGACTGAGAAGTGTTTCATTATTTTATGCGAACTGTTTGTGAGCTTTCAATAAAATGTACTGAAGCAGTGTTACTTAAACTTAAAACATTATGAGAAAGTTTTTTCAACAACGAACAAACAGTATAATGATCAAGTAAATTTTTATTTATAAGTGTACATATAAATATAGATCAGACTTCACTTTATAAGTTACTACTGTCTATGGCAAATAATACATACATTGAATTTTTTATTAGAATTACGTTAATTCTTTTCATCACCAGAATAATGTAACAGTAAGTGGTTTAAGAAACACTACCTCAACTTAATATAAATTGTTTCTAAAAACATTAACAGTAAAATCAGTTATGTACTTATAGATGCGATTTTAATGTGTGTACTTGTAAAACGTATGTGTGTGTACTCTAAAAACAGGTCGTAATTTGTTGGTAACCTTTGGTTGCAATCAGTTGTTTGCATGAAATTAGTATTGATCGTTAACAGACAACAAATCGAAATGTATTTTTTACACAATATTGCATCATGGAAACTGCCATATAAAAGATATAAAGTTACCATGTAGCAAGATGGACGTAACATTATAGTAATAATAGGAAAATCTACATGTCTTCTACCAATTATGATTTTCATTAAATTAAAAAATTATAATTAAAACAATTATAATTACGCTCGCCTAAGAAAAACCTAAGATTGTAAAAGTTTATTCAAATAACGATTATTGTATTTATTAAAATGCACGTTTTCATTACGATAATAGAAAATAGTTAATTCTATCCCTATAAAAATCAATTCTTTACAAGTAATCTAAAATCTTTTGTGTCGCGTAGTGCTTCTTTTTTCTTTTACAAATGCATCATTGAATTTTATGACGTCATTTAAAAGCTAATTACGAAACGTTTAAGAATTACATAACGATCTGCCACACAGGTATATGAATATGTTATACATACAGCACACACACATATTTCGTTTAGCGGGAAGATCTTTGTAAATAAAATCACGTGATTTACAACAGGACCGAAATGACGAGGTGCTATGCTACAGATTAAATAGAAGTTTTATAAGTAGCTATTTATGTACGATAATAACAATTCTGCAGTGAAAGAGTTTATGAAACAATGCACGAAGTTGTCAAATCTTTTCAGGGATAGTAAATAAAGTAATATTATAAAAAAATATATCAAGCAACGTAGAATTGTATTAAACCTAACCTACGATACGCTCTCGGCTATAGATAGCCGAACACAGCCGAGCACAGTCGAGCGATAAGCTCCTGTCACCTGTCATCACCTGACATGCCTGTCAGTAAGTCATGTGGTTTTGTTTATCGCTAAATAAAGTATATAAAAAACATTTTACAACTCTAATTCTATATACTCCATCATTTTAGATAGGTTGTGTTATTAAACTAATATAGATCAATTTAAGCATTACACTGTTAAAATATTTATATTATTAAATACAACTGTCAAGTGTTACTTATATATATATGCACAGTTAAAAAATTAACAAAATGCTGTGTAATGTCTACTTCTATAAATAAATATTAAATGGTTCTTAATAATTGAATAACAATAATTATTGATTTTTGTAATCATTTTATTTTTTTATTTATATTTAGTTAACAAATTTACTTGTAATGTTAATTTAAATTAAATACATCACAATCTAAACAGCACAGTGCATCAATGAAACAAGTATGTTTCATTGTTAAAGAACTCCTAACAATCTTTGAACTTGAAAATAATGAAAACTTCGTAAGGGATCTAATTGAATTGTTACCTATAATTTGTGTTACCTAAAGAGATATTCATATTTAAAGGTGAAAATTGCTGCGGTATAATTTGCCACCCATAGTAAACATCTTATGCAATCTTATCTTAATATATGATTGGAAACTGCGTAATAATCTTATCAGTGACAACTACAAAGTTGTGTAAAACAGAACACTTCCATGGTACAAATTCATATTGTCTTATAACGTTTACACTTAAAAGAATCCAATGAGTAGTGTCAAAAATGTGTATCCTATTTATTTATCGTAATCCTGATGCTAATTCTGAGTCTTATCGATTAATTTTGGCTTCGAATCGTGATGAAGATATTAAACGTCCTGCATCCTTAGCCCATTATTGGAAAAATCATCCTGAATGTCTGGGAGGTATGTTCAAAATTAGTTTCTTGTATGAAATACTCAGTGTAATAGTTGTTATGAATTATTACACCTCATGTTTTTAAAATATTATTTAAAGAGATTTTGTTTTTGTCTGTTAATTTTGCTCTAATTGAAATCATTATTAAATTTTACATGGAAGATAAAAGTAATTTACAATTTTTCAGGTACTGATATGACACCTGGCAAAGAAGGAGGAACATGGCTAGCCCTATCACTAACAGGGAAGGCTGGAGTTATTTTAAATTTATGTAATGAAGAAGACTCACCTAATACTCAGAAAAAGGGACGAGGTTTTTTAATACCTCAATTTGTTACTTCAAATGATTCTGCAATTTCATATTTGCCCAAATTACATAAAGAAAATCAAAATGGTCAACCATATAATCCATATGCTTTGGTTTTAATTAATTTACAGTATGTAAATAATTTTTATAAATCTACAGAATCAAGACAGTTTCATTTTGTAGCATTATTAAAACATTGTATTGTTCATAAGGAATGTTTTCAATTAGTAAATGAGTAATTTTTTATATTTATTCAGCAATGCAAATGTTGACTGCCTAAGCAGTTCTATGAGATCAACAGGACCTTTTTCATGCGAAGACGCAGTACTAGGTTTCAGTAATAGCGGCTTTGGTATTCCTTATAAGAAGGTCGAAGAAGGGAAAGAAAAATTCAAAAATATTGTTACTAATGTTAAAGTACGAACCCAAGCAGAGCTTATTGAAAATCTTCTAAAATTTTTAAAATCAAAAGAAAGGTATCCATTATTTGCAAAATTATGAATCACATATTGTTATTACTATTGTTCGTTACTATCTTATATTTCGAATATTCATAGGTATTTACCAGATGCAGAATTGCAAAAGCGATCTCCAAAAATGTATGAAGAACTTAGTTCTATTTTTGTATCTCTTAATAATGATTATGGTACACGAAGTCATTCTGTAGTGCTAGTTACCGGAAGCGGGAAAATTACATTTATCGAAGAAACGCTCATGCCAGATTTAACATGGAAACGTCAAATATTTAATAATAATTTAATGCGCAGAAACAACTAACTATTATGAAAATAAAAATAATGTTTGAGTTTCAAGTTTTATATTAATTATATTACAAATTCAAAATATTTACAATAATATTAATATGTTAATATAAAAAAATAAAAATTTTATAAAAATATCTTTATCATTGTGAAGAGTTTTTCATTTTATTGATTTATATTCAATTCAATTTAACTCATTTTCTGAAAATAATTATATGTCATCATCTCCAGGAAGATCATCGTCTGAATCACTATCTAAAATATCCGACGATACATTAGTTAAATTGTCGATAACATCAGAACTTGGTAAAGTATTCCCTTCTGATGACACACTCTAAAAATATCAGTAAAAACATTAAGTATAACTGAAATATATGAAAATATTAAAAAATAACTTAACTAACCTGTGAAAGAATTTCTTGGCCTTCTAAGTTTTTATTAACAAGGTTACCCATCCAAAAAGCAGCAGGACTATTATTGAGAACCAGCATTCCTTTTACGCTGTAAAGTAATCGTTCTAATACAGATTTAGCTGCAGGAATGTATTTTGATAATGTAATATCTTTTTTTTCTGAACTGTCACAACATATTGTGTGTAAATATCGTGTACCTCCTAAATCATAAACAATTTTTTAAATATATAAAACATGGTATTATTATAAAAATAAAGATTTATACCTTGCATCATTTTCAATATTCTGGTAACATCATCCATTTGATATTTTAAGTTGTGTTCAAGAACTGGCATTCCAAGATTTAAAAAATATTTTAATAATATGGGCATGTGTTTCATAAAAATTAGTACGTTATTTTTTGTAGTTAAAGCTTTGGATATTTGTACTAATTTTTGAACGTTTGCTGCAACTTCAGACCATATTTCTATTCTTTCTGGATCTCTGAGTAAAAATTGATTATTCAATATAATTGTTAAAAGTGAAACAATTCAAGTAACATACCTGTTAGCTAATGGTAGTGCTATTTTCACACCATTAACCAGACCATCAAATATTTTCTTGAATAAGAAATGAAAATTATTTCTTTTTATTGAAGGTATTCTATTCAAACAGTCTTGAGGTTTCACTAATTTAGGAGTTTCGTCTGGGAGCCATTCCAAAATTGTTGTTACTGTTTGTAGTGGTAGTGTTTCGTTATCAATCCAACTATTTAATAATCCAATTACTGCTGCTTTATACTGAGAAGTAAATTCTTTGTCATCTGGCCACTCAAGACATAGAAATCCAAATGCCATTTTTGCTGTAAAATGGTATAAATTTCGTACATGCGATTTGTTTAAGTATACTTGTTAATTATGAATCATATATAATATTGATTACCGTATTTCTCTTTGTTTTCTCTTGTATAAGATTCGGAATGTTTCATTATTGATTGACACGTATTAATTAACGTAATAGCTAATGATATTTGCGTAGCAATATCAGCTAACGACTCAAAATATTTACATGATTCTCCAACAAGTTCCTTGCAAGATCGCAAGGTAACATTGTTTTTATTTATCTGACTTGCTACAGTTCGCAAACCCTCTGAACAATGATTAAAAAATAATCGAAAAGATAAAAGTTTTTATAAACTATGTATTATAAAATCGAAATTAGCGTACCTCGTAATAACAGATTATAAGTGACACTTTCGAATCCTTTCCAGTTAAAAATTTTTGTTAAGAGACATAATAACAATCTAGCAGCTTCGTTATTTTGATTATTTCTTTCCTCTCTTAAAGTGTCTACAATATCTTGCAACTTTGAACAAATTATAGGTAACAATTCAATTAGATCCCTTACGAAGTTTTCATTATTTTCAAGTTCAAAGATTGTTAGGAGTTCTTTAACAATGAAGCATACTTGTTTCACTGATACATTGTGCTGTTTAGATTGTGATGTATTTAATTTCAGTTTTATATCTAGCAGATGTACAATCTATAAGAATAGTTTCAATTAGAAGAGTATGATCACAAATACTAATATTGTTAGAATAATAAGATAAATATATTTATACCGTTGCATCCAATCTTCTAAAATACGTTGGATTTTTAGAACATATCAAAGAACCTAATTCCCAGCTTCTTGTCTCGCTGAAGCTAGTAGATTTTTCTGGAGATACTTTCTTTCCTTTTTTACCCTTTCTTCCAACTTTCTTCTCAATTTTTACAAAATGTGGTAGAGGAAAATGATGGAAATAACATGGAGATGGTTGATATTTTGTATCGCATAAAGAAAATAATGTGCTTAATTCAGTTTGCAAATATATTAAATTATCAAGTCGTTGTAACACTTGTTTTTGTAGTAAAGAATCTTTTTGCATAACAAAACCACTAATTATTTCGCGAAACCTGTAATTTGATAATTATCAAGTTTTTAAAATTGATATTATATTGTACCAGTGTTTGCTTTAACTTACCAATTGATACAACATATTACTAAATCCATTGTTGAATTTTCTGCTACATCAAAATTTTCTGGCATTAATATTCCACATCCCAAAAGAGAATCTATAGCATCTAAATCTCCATTTTTACTAAGTTTTATACAACAAGTTCTAAGAAGTTTAAATGAAATTGGTACAATGGCACCGAATTTCTTGTTTTCGAACGTTAAAACACAATTTTGTGGTTCATCTTCTGCTTTGTTCAATCCAAATTTAGGAACTAATTCTCCTCTATATATACCGTTAAACGTTACGAAATATCAATATTGTTATACATGTTAAATATAAGCGAGGATGACGGAATTATGTATACCTATAAGAGGATTTATCAATCATATATGTGTTAACAAATTCTTCCTCAATGAAATTTGAAAGATTCTTTATAAATTCTGTATCGATATCTTGAGTTTCGGAAATGATAAGCGTTAATTGATCGTAAAATAAGGCCTGTGATCTTGGGCAATTCTTCACATTGTTCAGTACTGTATCTATGAAACCAAAATGTAATTTAATACATATGTGATAATTATTTTGTTGTATAGTCAAATTATTTGTAATGCATACTAAATAGATTATAAGCTGCTTTAGAAGTTTCATCTTTCTTCATTAAATGTTTTATTGCCATAACTGCTGCCAAAACACCTTTGCATTTTGTTCTAAAATAATTTAATTTAAAATAAAAAAAATGTTTATTTAAAATAATCTCTTCATACTTAATTAATACATACAGTGGTTTAAAGTTAGACAACTGCTTTTGGAGTAATATGAAAAGGTCATCTCGTAAAGAATCAGATACAGAACTAGAGTTTATGCATAAATTTTGCAATAAATCGTTCACTGTGCCAACATCCTGTAAACCTAAATTATCCATCTTCTCAAGCAAAATGCGAAGATGATTGCAATGCGGCGCCAAACATTGTCTTTCTTCTTCTTTCGTCACCATTTTACAAAGAAATGTCAAAGCATTTTTTACAGTCTGATCATTATCACCCATAAGAAATATTATTCTTTCTAAAATTTCACGTTGATTAAACATATTTTTTTTATGACATATGAACTGCAATCGTAACCAATCGATGGCAAAGTCAATAAACACACGTTCATCCGATTTTAGCAAATTACTTGATAATTGTAATGCTGCAGGTTGCAATTCCTGTACAACCTACGATATATTATACGAGAAAATAAATAATTATGTTTAAAAAAAGTATTTCATATTATTTTTAAGTTAATGCAAACCTGTTTATAGTCATTGTACAATGAGTTTAGCAAACTTGCTCTATAAAAACCGGATCGTATGTGTTGTTTAAATATAGTTTCAACGTTTTTTCTCCTAATCTCTGTAGTCGAAAATATAAGAAGTAAAAGAATGATATCTAATGGTTTTGGATCTTTAACAATGTCTTTTATAACTGTAATTGCTGTATTTATTATACTTTTGGAAAGGAGCATATTCATTTTTAAAGTATCGACTATATCTAATTGATTTTGATAACATTCTGCAACATTTTCTCCAGCAAGAGGTTGCATATCAATATTACGTAGAACTGTTAATGTCTTTTTAAAAATATCCATATTTGTACAATCTTCTAGAATGAATCTATGGAAAAGTTAATTTATGTACATACTAAAACATTAATTAAAAATCGTTAGATGATTAAACATACTTTACAACAGCTGGTATAGCATTTACTTTTATATTTGTTTTTAACAAGTTTAATATTTTATTCTTATACTCATCCAAGTATTCTTTGCCAAGATTCAAGTTACTCATACAGTCTAGAATTAAACTTGTTATTTCAGAGTTGTCTTCCAATACTTTGTCTAAAATTTCAGCAACAGCTTGATGTTGTTTATCAGTGACAATATCAGGTAAGACTAAAATCAGTTCTCTTTGAAACCATGTAGGACATGATTCTAAGAGTTGTTCTAAACTATTAGTTAAAGCATCAGAATTAGTTACAACATCTAAGAAACGAAATTGTTGTAGCAATGAAATAGCCCAAGGCACTGTTTCAATGGAATCACTGGAAAAATATTTTTAAAAAACATATTGAATAGTTTTAAGGATTAGAAAAAATACTTTGTTCAAGAAGGAATTGAATTGTATAAAATGTACTTACGCTACAAGTATAGCTTCATTGAGTTTAGTTAAAAGACTGCTATATATTTCTGGATGTAACTCAGAAACTTGTAATAAAATCTTTATGAGAGATGAACTGTGTAAGACATGTGACACTTCACTGTTAACAAATATTTCCATATCATTTAATGCATTTTCAAGATTTTGCTCATCGTCGAAATAATCTTTCATTAATTCCATTAATTTTGCTTTCTCATATTTTTTTGAATTTAATAATTCTTTCATTTTTTGGCGAACTATTATAATATCTTTACCTGTAATAAGTTATTTAATGTTATATGAATTAAACTCTTAATGTAATGTATATATTGTTAGATGTGAACTACAAATACTTCATTAATATTTACTTAGTATATGCGGAGCAACTGGATTTAATTTAATTCCTGATTCATGTAAAAATTTAACAAATTCACATTGCGTATTCAAAGTTGTGCTAATATTTTGTAAAGTAGTTGAAATATTTTTAGAATTAATATTTTCACATTCTATTTGGGTAACAGTTGAATTGTCTCGTCGTTTTTTTAAAACTGTAGATTCAGCTAAAGGTGCTCCCAAATCATCATCATCTTCATCTTTTGATTCACTAAAGCTCAACGATTTACGTTTACGTGACGATACAACGTTCGATGTTTTGCTTTTACGTATAGACGTTTCTCCCTGAGATGATTTACTATTATTCGTGAATATTTCTTCATTCGATGACTTATTTTGACCTGAAAATATCCTTATGTTCGGTTTTCTTTTCATACAACAATATCTTTTCGACTGACTTACTTTGACTTGAAAATGTCTTGTTGCTTAATAATGTTATTTTACTTGTCGATGGTTCAGCATTGTGGCTTTTAGTTTCAAAAGATGATCCACTATTTAATGATGTTTGACTTCCTATCAAATTTTTATGCAAACCACCTCTAAATTTTAATTTTCTTTTATCCATAATCCACTGATTGTATACAACACCTGATCGCGCGTACTTATATAGAATAGATCACGTAGTACAACTTTACGATGACAACAAATGGTTACAAACTGACAGTTTGAATGGGTTTGAATCGTGAATGACATCACATCGTGTCACGTGATGTCACGAGTTGTGTAGTAGCAGTTAGTAACTAACCTAACTTACTAAATTTTAATAATGTTTTACGAAGTACGTTTTGGACAGAAAATTATGTTTGCGTAGGAATAAATGTAACAATGAGATAAACAAATGAAATTTACAATTAAAATATACATCTGGAGACATTTATATTGGCAATCTTGGGTTTGAAGTCACGTGGTCACGAGTTAATACGAGCTCTGTATGACGTCATACAGAAATTAAATGCCAGTTTAATTGATGTACGCAAAGAGACTGAAAGTGACAGGTCCTGGGTGTACCTTTTAATAATTACAAACACAAAAACATGTCATCGGCACATTTAACAACTGGCCGATTAAATGTGGGAATTATACAAGAACAAGCTAGAAAACAACTCCTTTGCTTGCTTGAAAAATGTGATGGCACGAAGGTATTATCATAACCTTTTCGGTTTCATTTATTTACTTTACACATTGTATTGTTACTTTGACAAGTGAAATTTATTACAGATGCTTGTTTATCTTAATATTTTTCATATTTTAATAGGCAATTATATGGGAAGAATCTCTTGCAGGACCAATTGGTCTCGTTGCAAAGTACAGTTTGCTCGAGGAACACGACGTGGTTAAATTATATCCATTATGTGGTGGGAGCTTGAATATTCCACCGAATATTGTTAATATCATATTTATTACTAGGCCTCAATTAGATCTTATGGATTTAATTGCTGAAAATATACATAGGTAGTATCAAAAAATCTAATATTAAATTTCTTTGAATATAGAAAACTTATACAGCAATTAATTTGCAGTGAGGATGGTAAAAGGCCACGGAAAGAATTTCATTTGTTTTTTGTGCCTCGCAAAAGTCTTGTCTGTCAGAAGAAACTTCAAAATAGAGGAGTCTTTGGTAGTTTTACCCTAATAGAAGAATTTAAATGTGATTTGTTTCCTTTTGATAATGATCTCCTTTCCATGGAACTTAGTGGATCATTTAAAGAGTTTCATTTAGAAAATGATCCAACCTGCTTGTATCAAGTTGCACAAGCCATTCATGGTTTACAAAAGTTATATGGAAAAATACCAAAAGTCACAGGAAGAGGGTGTGCTGCTGGTAAAGTTTGGGAGTTATTAGAAAGATTAAGTCGAGAAGAAGAGGAAAATAAAGCAACATCTGTACAGTCGAGTACTATAGAGTATTTACTATTATTGGATAGATCTGTGGATTTACTTTCACCCTTAGTTACACAGTTAACATACGAAGGATTGATAGATGAAATTTTTGGAATAGAAGTTAGTAAGTATTTTTAGTTTTACAATTTCGATACAGTTGTATTAAAACAGGTGATATAATTTGTTATAACTTCAGATACTGCAAAGTTGCCAGCAAGAAGGTTTCATGATTCCGAAGATTCCCCAACAGCCATGTCTATTAATGAAAAAGAACAAATCATACTTAATTCTGGAGAAGAATTGTTTGTAGAGATTAGGTGAGTTGTTGTATACTTTATATAACTTCACGTTTAAGATATTTTTGTAATTTATAGGGATAAAAATTTTAATGGAGTAGGTCCTGTTCTTAGTAAAAAAGCTAAAGTTATTTCGTCGCAATTCGATGAAAGACATAGAGATAAAAGCGTACAGGAAATCAAACAGTTTGTAGCACGATTACCGCATATGTTAGCTACCAAGCAATCATTAGCGAAACGTAAATTTTTTCAATTCTATTTAGTAATATTAATTGTATCATTAACTATGATAGATATTATATGTACTCGGCAATTTATTTGTAGATACAACAATAGCAGAAATGATAAAAGAAGTAACAGATTCGAGTAGCTTCCTAGAATCATTGCAGGTTGAACAAGAGTTGCTAAACTGTATTGACACAGACAAACCAAACGCTTATATAGAAGATATGATAGCACAACAACAACCACTTTTAAAAGTTTTACGGCTTCTCTGTATACAGTCTTTAACAAACTCTGGTCTTAAACCAAAATTATTAGACTACTATAAAAGAGAAATAATACAAACGTACGGGTATCAACATTTACCAACTATATTAAATTTAGAAAAGGCTGGCTTGTTAAAACAACAACAATCTGCTCGTCAATACGCAGTTTTGCGGAAAGCATTAAGACTGACAGTCGAAGACGAAAGCGAGATAGCCCCAAAAGACATTAGTTACGTTCATTCTATATACGCACCGCTAAGTGTTCGATTAGCGGAGCAACTTGTACAACCAACTGGTTGGCAAGGTTTAAATGATGTAATGGGTTTACTACCAGGTCCTACTATTAATAGTGTTCCATCTAACGTTTTGTCTTCTGGGAGAAGTAAGAAATATATAAAAAGTACATTTCAAGTTGTAACTATAGTAATTAATGCACTAATTTTTAGGAAATTCTGTTACTAGCGAAGATTCTAATTCTGAACCGCCGAAGCTAGTAATGGTTTTCTTTATCGGAGGTTGTACATTTGCAGAGATTTCTGCACTCCGATTTTTGTCTCAACAAGAAGAGTGTAAGTAATACATTAATAAAATTTCTGACCTAATTTTCCAATTGTACATATAGTATGTTTTGTATATTTTTTTTTTTTCAGTAAACGTAGAATTTGTTGTTTGTACTACAAAGCTAATAAATGGAAACACATTTTTGACATCGTTGATGGAAAATTTAGAAAGTACGTAATTTATTAAATTAAATTAAATAATGTTATTCGAGTTTATATTTAAGTTTTGTTGATAATTCTGTATACACTTTCTTCTCAAAACTATAGGTAAATTCCTACAGTGATAAATGCATTTATATATGGTAAAGATTGTTATGAATTTGTACCTCACAAAATCTTTTATATGTGTCTTTTATACGATTCACATACAAAATATATATGTATATGTAATTAGACTAATTTTTACGTCATTAATTAGACGTTAATTAGCCTCGTTTGTAGATATATATGGTAATGACGATTGCGACATTACGATATACATATATATATATATATATATATATATATATATATATATATATATATATATATGTTTATGATTTGTAATGTATGTATTATGTATAATTTATAATATTCATTCTGATACATTACGACATACATATAGTAATGATTTAAATAAATTTCTAAATAAATTCATTTACTTCTATTTTCAATGATATATGAATATTATTAGTTTTAATAGACGCTTCAATTAAAAAAAATAGTGTTAACTCTTTCGACCTGGCTGTTTTCTACTTGAATTTTATTCGTTTCTCTTTTAGAAATGATGTTCATTTTTTTTTAATGTTCCTGTGAATTTCAAAAGTAATCTGGCCAACAGGATACTGGAACATTCCTGTCCCATTAAGGTCAAAAGGGTTAAGGGATGTGAAACAATAACGACATCGTTTTATAAAGATAATTACAACTCGTTCATACTGTTTGAATGATTTCGTTTAGTTGAAAGTTTCAAGTTGAAACCAGTCGAAACGCGACTGGTAAAGAAATAACTCGTAGTTATCGGGTGGTAATAGTTGTCAGTTCGGAACTTGACCACATAGCGCCACTCGTAATCGACGGAGAACGTCGCCTGCCGTAGAGTACACCCAGGCCAGGCGAAAAGGCGTCAAAAAGTTTGCGAATTTTCGTGTGTCTGGGGCTGACGGTGGGTGCCGTATTGTTGCGTTGCCGCGGATTGTCGCGTCTCGCGCGTGTGTGCGTACGTGCGTGACACGTACGAGGCGTGTACTTTTCCGGGGTGCGGTGCGTTCGCACGAACGAAAAATCGTGAGGGATCCTCGGATCTTAATATGCTCGAAGGATCGGCCAAGTTCAGGAAAAAGAGGTGCTCCGCCTGAAGAGAGTGCACGGAGCTGCGCGCATGCTTCCGTACCTGCTCCCTCGCCATTTTGGAGGTGAATATCATTTTTTTTCCTCTTCGCCGGAGCTCCCCGATAAATTTCAGTTGATACACCGGGATACGATCGCGATGTTGCACGCCCCTACCAAACACGGCGACCGTTTTCGGCTACAGCGACGATGTTCCTCTGCCGTATTTGCGGGACCAATCTGACGCGATTGCTTCGAGTCAGAGACCCAACCCTCCTTACGCCCGCATTTTCTACCTCCTGCGAATTTCACTCGACCGCCTTCTTTGCTTACCAACCCCGATTCCACGATTATTTCTCTTTCTCTCGCAAAAATACTTGTCGTTTAATGGCTCGACACTGGCACCGATAACGTACGTTTTGATGTTCACCGCGGATGTCCCTGTTAAAAACATACGATATTTATTCGAGTCAGATGAGTTTCTCGACGGGTGGAATGGTGTGATTCGTATCGAGGACCGCGTGATAAGTGTCAGGCTCGTTTTAATTGCTTCAGGACCGAATTAAATACGCAGGTAGTCGATAGAAGCGTTATTATTCGGAGTAATGTACGTCTCGACCTTTACTTTAAGTCTTCCTCAGCATGCAAATTTATAATTTAGAGCAATTATACAGTAATTGTTAACCCTCTCTATACTGTTTTTCGTTCATCGTTCATTTTTGTATACTTTTTATTTTGTTCTCGACAGGCTAAAACTCGTAATAATTTCATCTTATTGGATTCTTATTTGTACAAGTTTAAATGAGTCTTAATTGGCTTGTTGATCCTGATACATACACAGATGTCACAGCTTTATTAATATTTAAACAAATATCTAAAATGTACTTTGTAACTGATCGTACAGTTTATATGTCAATCCACATTCAATTTTATATAATTTTGACTTCATTCTCACCTCTTCAAGTCTAATTTCTATACTGTTCTAGATTATAATTTCATTTATTAAAGCTGCCCTAAACCACAGATCCTGATACATATTATTCCAAATAATATTACTTGTACTAACTACCTGCTTATTTAATTTAAACCAACTCATAAGCATTAATTGTTATTTTAAATTAGACAAGGAAATATTTTATATCTGTTGCAAATAAAGTTTAGAAAAATATGATATTTAATTTATTAAGTTCAAATTTGTAATTCACATTTTTTTCGCAGATAGAATGTTAAATTTTGGAATGGACTGACAAAGGATTAAGCAAGATCATAAAATTTCAAGTAGAAGATTGAAAGGCTTGGAAGACGTCTAACGGTGTCTGAAATAGGCCTCGGCCATTTAGTTATTAACACCTTTACTATGCCAGCTGTTCCAAGGCCTGGTAGCCTTAAGGACCCAGAGATCGCTGAATTATTTGAGAAAAATGATCCGGAGAAAATATTTGAGGACTTGCGCGAAATCGGGCATGGCAGTTTTGGAGCTGTTTACTATGCACGATGCTTGGTTACCAAAGAAATTGTTGCCATCAAGAAAATGTCGTACTTGGGGAAGCAAACTGTCGAAAAATGGCAAGATATCTTGAAGGAAATTCGATTTCTTAGGCAACTACATCACCCTAATACGATAGAGTATAAAGGTTGTTATCTCAGGGACCACACTGCTTGGCTGGTAATGGAATATTGCCTTGGATCTGCATCAGATATTATCGAAGTTCATAAAAGACCTTTAAAAGAAGACGAGATAGCCGCAATTTGCGAAGGTGTGCTACGCGGTTTGCATTACCTTCATAATCTTGGAAGAATTCACCGAGATGTAAAGGCAGGAAATATTTTACTTACCGAGAATGGAACGGTAAAATTAGCAGATTTTGGATCTGCCAGTATAAAATGTCCAGCAAATAGCTTTGTAGGAACTCCTTACTGGATGGCACCAGAAGTGATATTAGCTATGGATGAAGGCCAGTATGATGGAAAAGTAGATGTATGGTCTTTGGGAATAACGTGTATTGAATTAGCAGAGCGGAAGCCACCGTATTTTAACATGAATGCTATGAGTGCTCTGTATCATATTGCTCAGAATGATACTCCAACTCTGAATTCGCCAGATTGGTCAGACGTTTTTCGTCACTTTGTTGAAGTCTGTCTTACCAAAAGTCCAACAGAAAGGCCAGCCTCTGGTAGATTGTTATCGCATCAATTTGTCACCAGAACACCTTCTCCTCAAGTTTTGATAGATTTAATTCAGAGAACAAAAGCTGCTGTGAGGGAATTGGATAATTTGAATTATCGGAAAATGAAGAAGATACTAATGATCGACGCTTGCGAGACTGAAAGTACAGTTGGTGATGCTGATGGTATGTTATTTAGTTTTGTGTTATAATTTGTGTTCATTGATTTATATTTTTATTTATTTTTTTACAGATACACCTGATGAACAAACAGGTGGTGACAGTAGCAAGAGTAATTCAATTACCTCTGAGCATTCGATTCATTCGATGGGTGTTTCTGCAAGTTCTCAAAGTTCCTCCACTAACAGCCTGCCACTGCCAAACGCTGATGCAAATGATTATTCCACTGGATCTGTACGAAATCGGCATAAAATATCAGCAGGTGGTGTTACTGCCAACCTTCTTGAACACGGTGCCAATAACTTTGCAACAATTAGGACGACATCGATTGTGACTAAGCAACAAAAAGAACATATGCAAGAAGAAATGCATGAACAAATGAGTGGATACAAAAGAATGAGACGAGAACATCAAGGTGCTTTGGTAAGTTTTTATTTACTATTTTTTTTAAACTATTAACTTATTAAACAATTGTACAGGCTTCATTATAATTAATTACATCATCTATATTTTACGTTATTTAAACAGGTGAAATTAGAAGAGCGTTGTAAAATGGAAATGGAATCGCATAAACAATTACTAGACAAAGAATATGAAACTCTTTTGCAACAATTTAGTAAAGAATTGGAGAAACTTCAATTAAGGCATTTGCAAGAATTAGAGCGTAAACTTAAACAAAACCAAAATGCGGAAAAGAAGCTTCAAAAAGAAATTACAAGTAGACAAGAGGCTGATCGGAAAGCATTAGAAGCACAGCAAAAGAAACAGTACAAAGTAAGGAAATTAATACGATATTAACACTTTATTGAAATAAATAAAAACATATATTTTCAAATTTTGTATAATAAACTTTAATAATTGAAGACTTTTTATGTTATAAGGCTTATAAAGAGAGATGGAAAAAAGAATTGTCTCAAGATGAAGTTACTCCAAAACGACAACGAGATGCTACACTTCAAACTCAAAAACATAATTTACGACAGATGGAAGCGCAAGAAGAACAACGACTTGCAAGAGGGCAAAGAGAATATCTCGATTTAGAAATTCGTAAATTCCGCAGAAAAAAGTTGCTTATTTTTCATAGTTTGGAGCAAGAACTACTTCGAGAAGTTAGTATATTTTTTCTTCTGTTTCACAGTAAATTTGTTTACTTATGTTTATGAAAGGAGATATTCTTCTTACAATGTACTTTTATGAATAGGAATTAAATAAGAGGCAACAGCAATTAGAGCAAGCACATGCTATGTTGTTACGTCATCATGAAAAGACACAAGAACTAGAGTATAGACAACAAAGAGCTGTTCATGCTCTTCGAGAAGATCAAGTTCATCGGCAACACACGACTGAACTTTCTAATCAACAAGATTATATGAATAGGGCGGAGCGCGATTTGCGTAAGAAACACGCATTGGAGCTCAAGCAACAACCGAAGAGTCTCAAAGTAAGGAATATATTCAAATTTCATAATTAGTTTCAAAACACGAGTAAAGTACATTTTTGTATATTTCTAACTTTAGCAAAAGGAAATGCAGATTCGAAAACAATTTAGAGAGACGTGTAAAATACAAACACTGCAATATAAGGCATTGAAAGCTCAAATATTACAAACCACAGTAAAAGAAGAACAAAAGGCGGTTATTAAAAAATTAAAAGAGGAGCAAAGAAGAAAGTTAGCTTTGTTAGGTGACCAGTACGAACAAAGTATTGCCGAAATGCTTCAAAAACAAAGTATACGTTTAGATGAATCGCAAGAAGTTGAATGTCATAATCTTAAGGTAAGATATTCTGCGATATTATTTAAAGTGATAAAATACTAAACAAGTATTGTAATATGATTATTTCCTTGTATGTTTATAGGAAAGATTGAATTACGAACTAGAAATTCTAATGGCATATCAATCTAAGAACAAAATGCAAGCTGAGGCGCAAAGAAATCGGGAACGTCGCGAATTAGAAGATCGAGTATCAGTCAGGCGAGCTTTGCTTGAACAAAAAATGGAAGTTGAAACTCAGGAATTTCTGCGAGAACGTAGTGAACGGATACGTCTACTACATGAAAGACAGGAACGTGAATTACAACAATTTGACGAGGAAAGTGCAAGAATAGGATTCAGGTATGTAATTTGTGATCCGTACTTTTTGCATGAACGTAATTTTGAAATCACCTGCGAAAGGAAATAACTGTTTCGATTGTGTTCCCTTCATAATTATATTTTTTAATCATTTAAAGCTACAATTACGCTAAGCTGGTCATTACAAAATTTTACCACATTTTACAAAAATATAAAGATACATTTAATAATTTAAGAACGTGTTATTGTAGCCATACCTATATACATTCTTTTTAAAATTATTGCAGTGCTCTGGCGATAGCTGAGGCATCAAAAGAATCTTACCCAGACGATGAAAGCCTTAGTGGCTCAATGTTAAGTCTGGCTCACAGTAATAGTTCTACATCCTTCCCCCCTAATAGTCTTTAATTTTAATCATAATAATAGAATATGTATGTATGTACGTTTGCCTGTAGTGAGTGCATAATGAGTCTACCGACGTTTAATTCAATGACTTACATACATAGCAGAAGTTGGCTCGTTTCGTGCATTGATTCAAACCTAAGAGGTTTGTTAGGGTTGGGAATGTGTATTGGACTGAAATTAATGTAACAGCATATTTTTTAATTATCAAAATATGTCAACGTGATCTATCTGGAAAGAGAGCTTCATATTGAAGAAGAACTTAGATGCTTTTTGCAACGTTGTAATATTTATTAACCATATCCAAATACCTTGTGAAGTAAATAGAAGTAAAGAAGATAAACCTTTTAAGTATCAGTCTTATCTACTATACTGAACAAAATGAGTCTTAACGTTCTTGGGCTTAAAGTAAGTCAGCTATTATAGCATACGGAAAATTTTATATGCGATTACAGAAAATGTTTAGATACATTTATTTATCACTATCTTGCAATTATAATAAAAAAAAAAAAACAGTATAATCATAATGCTTGAATTATATGTTTGATTTTGACTGATTGAAGATTTGAAATAAGAGCAACGCGGAACAATATTTTCGGTAAGATTCTAACCTATCGAAGGTTTAGTATTAATTGATCTTATCGATAATTGCATGTGTTGACCTTCTAAGTCTTATTTCAAGCTTTCAGTAACACTTAGTCTGATACAACAAAAGCTAAGTGAGTCGATCTATTTATTTAATTGCATTCTTAATGCAATCATTAAATTTACAAAACGACAAACTAATGAAAATTTATCTACAGTATCCTATGTTATAGTTATGATATTACATTCATATTAGTGAATATTCGTTATTTCAATGAGAGATTAAATTCTAAAATTGAAAAACACTTTTTTACTATTTTATACAATTTGTTTTACATTATTAAGAAGGAATGTCAATATCAAAAATTAAATTAATAATAAAATTATTGTTGAATTACCAAAATATGACAGTGTACATTTCAAATTCCTTTCAACATTGATCTTCATCTAACATTTTTTTAATCGAGAAATTGGTATATACTTTTGAAATAGTAAATACTCTGATAAACATGAAACAAAAATGTTTCTTGTATTAAATTTGTAAGAAAAATGTAAAACATGTGTAGAATTGATTTTATTTGTTTCCTATGTTCTAATAGATTGATCTTTAAAGATACAATTTCAACAACTTAGTATTTAATAAAAGCAGTATCATCCTATAAATATTTACTATATTTAGCACACATCTCAGTTTAAGTCATGCATTTGTTCAAAATACAGGTAATGAATAAAACAAATGCCATTGTTATTTATGTATTGTGATTTTAAATTATAGATTAAAAAATTGTTTAAAGAAAAGTATTTTATTATTGCATTCAAGGACTCATTTGATTTTGCTCGTCATAAATCAGAAATTTATACATACCATTACCTTAACTTGCCAAAATGAATCTGCAAACATTATTCTAGTCTGAATGTTGCTTCCAGTATACCACAAATCTTTTATGTTAATAATTTTGCAGGTATCAGTATGGTACTTCTAACTTCACTATTTATTAGAAAGGTTATAATATAGCATTATTATTATTCTGCTGATACTATCATTTCAGTTATATTCTGTTGTGATTATCTGAAGTTTCCATCCAGTACACATCCCAATGTTGTACTCTTATAATGTAGTATCTAATTTGTTTCTTTCTTTCTTTTTTCATTTAATACATTTCCATGTACTTTTCCGTTTTATATATATTCATCTTCGCTATGAAGTATTAAATTTGAAATCAGATTGTGACTGTTCTTCTTATTGATATTTAACTTTTTATAACGACGTTAACGATATCTTCCTTAAAATATGATTAACGAAAATAATATTTCAATATGTAACTGTTTGTGTTAGATTCAAAATGTTTTCGTTGACAATTACATATTTTTTTTTTTTAGAAAATTTCTACTATGTAACATATAATATATAGTTATCTACTCGATGTTTTAATGCAATAAAAATTGATATCTTTACATAAATGTATCAATTTGTATAATACATAATAAGTTAAGTTAAATATATCTTAGTATATTTCTTCCATGTGGAAATAACAAAATAATTATGTAATATAGTAAATGTAGTAAAAAGCTTTAATTTGAAAATAGCAGAAAAACTACCTTCAATTACATACTTGTCCTTTTAAAAATTACTTTGTGGAATTAAAAACATTCAGATAAATCTCAGGAAATATCTTTGTAATACACCTTAACATTATTTACATAATGTAGCTCACATTCCAGTTTTTCTTATGTACAATAACATTATCTACTGATGATGATTTAATAAAATAAAATCAAAATTCACAATAAACAGAGTATATTAAAAAAACAATTTTAAATGTGTTCAATTACAGCAATTACAATTATAAAAGCTGATATAAAAAAGGAAACATTTCTGTAATTATGTGTTTAAAACTATTTAAATGAAGATGGTCACAATCAACTGAAACATTTTTTTTGTAATAATACGATATGTAAATATATACACATATTATATACCAGAAAACAATGTAGTAACTAACTGCGAAGAAGCCTGTAGAATTACATGTGTGTACTACATTTAAATTCTTCCTTAGATTGTACTTTTAGAAAGATGTATGAATTCAATAGATACTCTTAGCGAATTACTATAATTGATACTAAACAATGTAGACTAATAGAGACCTTCGTGCTACATTCTAAATTATAGTATAATTAAACAAAGTAAGCCACAAATTTTTAATCTTAGTCTGCTTGCAATCCATATACCATTTTATAAAATAATTATAAATTTACAGAGAATTATCATAACAAAATGGACTTTTTGTTTAAATTTAATGACATAGCTAATTTTAAATACATAATTATATTGTATGTATAGTAGTGTGGTTGATACACATGTTTAAGAATATTCTCGTAAATAATGCATGAGAAGAAATTTTTAAGTACAATGAATGTTTGCATATGAATCTGCAAAGTCATTCTATAAAATTCTTTAAAAAATCGAATTCTTGATTTACATATTATTTAAATTAAGATTCATATATTTTAGACTGTGAAAATTACATTTAAAATGTAGTTATTATGAAAATATTTTGCACATCTCAAGCTAATATCATAATAACAAATTTTGTATTACTGTTGCCAAGTTTTGTAGCTTTTAGAAGATGTAAATGTTATCGTTTTTTAACTTGAAAAGTGTATTAAATTCGATCGTAATGTATAAGATTTTGCAGTATTTTCGTTGGCCTAGTAAATACTATGGAACGTTTTCTATGATACAGTCAATATTTTAATAATATACATCTAAAAATTTATGGATTGCATACAAAGACTAATGTATAATACTTAAGAATTATACGTAATACAAACTACAAGTTTTCATATTAGATTCCAAAAATATAAGTAAATGACATTTTCAATTTCATTTAAATATAAGAAGTCAATAATATTACAATATAAGAAACATATATATTTTAGTATACGACAAGTAATTGGTAGATGGAATTTCTGTTTTTAAAGATGAAATAAATTATATTTCAAAACTTTATATGAAACAAGCAGATACACAAAATAAGTAGCAGATATATTAGAAGTAAATTTACTTATTGTCCAAGTCCTGTAATAAATAGATATTGCAAGTAATGATTTTGTCAATCTTCTTCAAATTGTTGCTGAAAAATTCAGCACAATACCAATTGTGGAATTTTGTATTTACTTCGTAAATGTGGCGCGACTTCTCTATAAGTCTAATTGTACATATATATACGAAAACAAAAAAATAAGAAAAACGCAACTGTTGACCATATGTGATTATTATCACAAATTGCTGAACATTAATTTAGAACATTACTTTTCGCTGTTGCTAGCATTTTGTAAATATTGATTCTCTATGTGTAAGTTTTGAAATTGAATCTTAATTGTTACGATGTCTAGAATTTAATATCATAGAATTTATTGAATTCTCCAAAGCTATGTCTCTTAACTTGATAATTTGAATTTGAAACGTGATATATAAGCTAGCCAATTAATCGTAGGCATGGCATGTCAACTACTAATCAATACCTTATGATTATTTGATCAGCTTATTTCTCACTTATTTCCATCCATGTGTGATTTCAGTATTTTTTTAGAAATTTTCTCTGCAGTATATTCACTTTTATCAAGCAAAGCATTATTTTTTGTTCACATTGTCAGACAGTAACGAAAATATTACTCTCATTGAGTAACAAATGTACTGGCGAATATACTAATATACATATACTGTAGATATAACTTTTCGTTTGAAGTAGATAAATTAATAATTTTCGTTTGAAGTAGTGCTGTTTTCTAATGAGGAAAATCTACAGTATAATATGTATAATATAAATAATATGATCACTGTTCACAAAAACTAACATTGATCAAATTATAAAAAGTAAGAAAACACTTCAGAGCACGCATAGACGGAGATTTATGAGAGATTTTGTGGCAATACTTGCACATGTTTTATGTGAATAGAAAAATAAAACTGTATGCAAAGTTGATAATGTAACTTTAAAAGTTTTTTATATAATTATGGATATTAATGGAACAGTGGTAGAACGTCTGTCTGCCTTCCACTTAATAATGAACTAAACTTCTTCTAGTATTATATTAAGTCAAATTGTTTTATCTTACATTTAATGAACATGTATGTATGTCTATAATATATTTGCAGTATCATTTGATATACTATACGAATGCCAATTTTTAATAGAGTTTTAATCCACAAGAATTTTGCAAGTTAATTAAAAGAATAATTTAAAATATACACTTTCCCTTGAAGCAGTATGATTTACAAATTGTGTTACAATTAACAGTGAGGTGTGTATCATAGTCACTTGGCATAGAGTGATTCAATCACAAAATTATTATTTTGACAGAGAATTTTATTCTGACTTATTTTTTTTTTTTTTACGAAGAAAATATGTTTGCCTACATCTTGTACATATACTTGTATACTGTAAATAATCGTAAAAAGATTTCGTCGATATTTATTTCTGTGTTCTGAAGATGCTTTCTATTTTCAATATTATCGAGCATATGCGTCCTCAAATAATGCGTAATTCTTAAAATGTTTATAGAGAAATATTCGCTATAATTCAAATTTGACTTCATTTTTTACTTTTTCTATTTTAAAGTCAATGCTGATACAAATCACGATTGTTAAGTGTGTCAAAAAAAAGAAATGAAATTTTGATTGTATGATATAAAACGTCGTACGATGTACATTACATATATGTACATTAATGCAATAACTTTTAATAAAATGAGCGTTGTAGATCATATAATAATCGTCCCTCACTTCACTGGCTCCATATGTATGTACATGGTTAAAAAAAACGATGTATTTCATTATCAGTAAGATAATTCTAGCTTCCAAACATGATAGTGTTAAATAGGAATAAAAATTAATCTTACAATAATATTGTAAAAGTTTAAGCAATGATGAAGTGTTTTTAGATTATATTGAGCATTAAATGTATCAATGAATGATTAGAAAGTTGAAGTAAATAATATGCTCACGTAAAACACTTTTCTGTAATATGGAATAGTAATCTATAATAACAGAATTCTTTATTACGATTATTTTATTATATATATATTTATAAAATTTAACTAATAAATATTAGTATGTTTATAAAAAATTGATTTCGAAATGGAACATAAAATGCAAATAACATGTTGTAATTAATCTTTATAATTATTATAATTACTTTCATTTTTAAATCTGATTAATGTACGTGTTTTTAACTAATGACTGAAAAAGAGAAAATGTAACATACTCTTTGCAAATTAAATTAAGGCTTGAAGTAAACAACTCAGATTGATCAAATTTGATACATTGATTAGATAATAAAAAGAAAAGATGTTTAATTATGTGCACTTTGTAACCCTTCCATTTCTTAAAGCAATTTCTTTTTTAATTAAAAATTGTTTCAATGAAAAAAGATACAAGTTATTTTTGCTTTGAAGCTTTCATTAAAATGTAATTACTCAGCTTTTGTAAACGTTGTCTTAAATAAAAATGAATTGTTAATACCAAATCATAGAATTCCAAGTCTACATCATTGTGCAAACATAATTATGAACAATAGATTTTAATATAGAAATACACGAACGTCCGTATATACAACGATCAAGTGTATTCATTCATGTATAAATATAGTGTTTGGATGGACAATGGAAACACATTATATCAAAACGCGCTAAGGTAACAAAGAAATTTAAATTTTATTAAAATACATTTTAGTAGTTGTAATACAACAAAATGGTACAACCCTTCTCATATTGAGCGCTTACTTTACACGATTATAAATGCAATGTGTGTTATAACAAATGTTTTTTTTACAATATTTTCACCGTATAGACATAAGAAATAAGTTGTAATATACAAATGCATTCATGAGAGCGGAATTTTATTTTGTTGGTGAAAAGCTAGTAGGACTTAAAATACGGGAATGCGTCTCTCTTATTAACGGTACAGTATATGCAACACATTCGTCCCATCCAGGAGATCTCCATGCGCTCTCGCGAGTTTCCATTCGTGCTTGGAGATTTTTGTAACCTGAAATTGAAATTGTTTATCATACTTATGGATGTTTTATACATAAGTAGACACCTTTTCGGTATCTTTTTTTACATTATATCTGTTTAAAATGGTATATGGAAAAATGGATTTAATGTTAATTTAATACATACACCACATGTGATGAACATTATACAATCGACCGATTTGTGAGAAAAAACCAGCGAAAGGTTCATTGTTGTTGCGCCTATAATTAATAGCCTTTGCCCAGTTATTGCCCCATTCGATCATTGTACCAGGTTGTAATCTATAACTACGTATTTCATATATATTGGAACCGTTACGTTTTGTAAGGGCAGGCCAGTAGCTAAATGCCAATAAATACTGTAAGTAACGAGATCGTAAATATTTGCCATTCTCCTTGAATAACTGCTGATATGCCTAAAAATAATATTGATTTGTTATAGAAAATTGATTTTGTACCAGTATATACAAATAAATTTTTCAACTATATCGTACTTTGTCCTTAGACAATTCGATTTGTGCGCGATCAACGCTATCATAACCACCAGTATATTGCCAAAGGTGCAAAGCTTGATCTATATCACCGGCTACGACAGTCCATGAACCAACTAGTTCCAATTTCAATTCAGACTTCTTGGAGTTAATAACGTTAACAATCTCTTCACTGTAATATCCCAAAATACAAACATGTCCCAATATAATTTTCCTACTATTAAAACAATTCTCTGTGCATGCCAATTCTGCGACATAAATAAAATCTAACATTTCTTTTTGAAACTTTCAATAAATTAGAAAAATAAAATTTTGTGCAAGCAATCAAACGTGTGTTTACAATTTAATACATATTGGTTTGACACCAAAGCAAGAAGAAATTGCGAAATAAAAGTATAAAATCATAGATTCACTCACTAATTGGCCACGTATTTGTCAATGGAATCAGGTCGGATATTGTGCGTGTGCAAAGCGTAAATAACTCCTTTGTCTGACAGCATCCGTGAGTGTGACTCTTTGGTTGGCTCGATTTTTCTTACGAAGAGCTTGTTTATCCATCCTTCGCTTGAATCCTGACGGATCGATGACCTTGCAAAAGATCTACAACACACACGATGTGGCTATTGCCCTAAAAAGCCGCCGCTTAGACTAGCTCGCGTAGTCTACAACGCGAAACATATGAAAAAAGGAGTGCTCCTCAAGGTTTTGGAATCGTGGTCGCCTACCGGCTGGTAATAATTGACGGTAGTTTACTATTGCCGATCACCGTGATCTGCGCGGCTCTGAATCTTCTAAAAACGGCAGCCATTCTTACTGGATTCTCGCGTAGAGATCTCCGCTGGTCTTCGCCCAATCAAGATCAGAGCTCGATTTCGATAGCGCTGCAATTAAACACGCGGCGCGTACGATCAAACTCACTGTGTAATCGTCGACTAATGTTGTTGATTTATTTTTATTCATAATCTCCGTTCGCGATGTTTTCTTTCTAGACGGAACGAGACTTACGACCATGGAAAGTACTCTTGACTGATAAGCTTGTGGACTTCAGCATCACAGCGCCTGCGTCTTGTAGTCTTGTAATCTTTCGATATATGTATGTGTAACGTTATGGGTATATTACCTATTGAAATATTCGAAGAATTTTGCTAAAACGTTGCAACATTCTATCCACGTCGTTTGAAATATTTCTAAAACATTGCTGTGATATTTTAAACACTTTACGACGATATTTAGATTTATTGGATTGAAGGAATATTATATTGATAAGACTTTATATCATATTCATCACTTGTAATGTCTTTTTTCAAATGATTGCAATGTTTACCAGATAAAAACGTTGAAAAGAAAGTCCGAGTGCTAAATAACATCGAAAAATGACTGGTTTTAATTTGATTTTAATTAATTTGACGCTTTACCGACTTTTGGCTTTTTTATTTTTTTTATCTATTTGGATGTCATTTAATGCTTCTATTGTTATATGAATTATGAAATATTGCATAAATATTAAAATATTGTATCAGTGTTGTCAAAATAAAATATATCAAATGTAATTATGTGCATAATTGCTAGCGGTCGGTAAAGTCGATAGAAACAATTGTCAAATTTCACAATCGATACATGATACATCTTTGTATTGATTCTTTTCAAATTGGTCAGTCTTAAATAAACACAAGTGTTTTTCAATGTAGAAATATCAAAAATAAATATAATTGACGTTGTTTGTGTAATGAATATTATCTATATACTATTTATAATACCTCTTGTTTCACGCATATCAATTGTATACATAAATATCATATTACTAATAAAAACAGGAGTTTGAAAATAAACATTCTTAATCCTGTTTTTCATATATTGTAATACCGAAATTGTTCCGTAGTAATTGTATTACGATTTAGTACTCAACTAGACATCCGAGCTATCGCTTTAAGTTAGGTTAAGTTGATCTGTATATTTATATATATATTACATATATACATTCAAATAAATGTTAGGTTATACGAAATCATCATTACTTAAATATTGCATTGTTAGCGATGTTAGGCGATACACCAGGATTAAATTAATGTAATATTATGTAATTTACAACTCGTAATGAGTTATACAAATATTTTGTGTACTTTAAAATGGATGATGCAGAAGTAATAGAGCACTTCTTTGGTGTTTATTTGCTGTATTGTAAGAACCCAAAGTATGTTGGAAAGACATACATAGGATATACAGTTAATCCTCGACGTAGGCTTGTACAGCATAATGCTGGGAATGAATTTGGAGGAGCTCGTAAAACAAGTAAGAGGGGACCATGGTAAGTACATACTTATTAGTAACTAAGATGTTATTTTTTATTGTTGCATTAACTACAAAGTAAATCTAATCTTTTTATTCTCAGGAACATGGTGTTGATCGTTCATGGGTTTCCAAATAATACATCTGCACTCAGGGTATATTTATGTAACTCTTCAGTTGTGAAAATGATTTCAGTTTATTTATCTAATTAATTTTTGCTTCCAGTTTGAATGGGCATGGCAGAATCCTCAACGTAGTCGACGTCTGAAACATGTACCTCGCAAGAAGCACAACCAGAAAGTGTTCTTATATCATCTGTTGGTTTTAACAGAAATGTTAAAAGTTGGCCCTTGGTGTCGTTTACCTTTAACAGTACGCTGGTTAGACTATGAATTTTATGAAAAATATTCTAGTTATGTCTCAGCTCCAATGCATATGCCTATATGTTGTGGAAAAGTAACTTCTAAGAAGATTAAGAAGAAACTTAAAGAAGCTTTAGTTAATGAAATAGAAACTCAAGGTATATCTCCCATATTTTGTTCTATATGTAGTTTATTTTTAGAAGAAAAAGAATTAGTTAGTTGTATAAAACCTAATTGTCCTTTGGTAGCTCATTTAATTTGCTTAGCACATGTATTTTGCAAAGATGATATGATTATACCAGTTGGTGGTACTTGTCCTGCTTGTAATACCGATGTTCTATGGGGAGATTTAATTAGGAAAAAAGTTGGCTGTTACAAAAATCTTAAAGAAGTCTCCTCCAGTGATGATGGTGAGGACACATAAATGTAACGACGCCAAGAGCATGAATTTTGTCTATTAATTATATAAGAATTATTACGTAAAATTTATTATTAATGTTTTATTAACGTAATAATAACACGTTGTGTATATTTATCAGTCTTTATTTGTAACTAATCGACAGATCAAAATATATTTATATATACATATATGTATACGTATATGTATATACATGTAGACGTAACATTATCTGATAGGGAGGGATACAAGAAAATTCCTCTGATTCATCGATATTTAAATATGCCGCAATTAAATCGGAAGCTAAAATCAAGGCCAGCTTGATCGTTTTGTGCGAGCTTGTTGCGCCGATACTTACAATGTCGTTAATCGTAGTTTCAGATTTCAACGTATGTATCTCGCGCGCGTTATGATCGTATCAGCAAGCGTCTAGGTATCTAACTTGCTAATTTTTCTCTTTTTATAATTCGCTGTTATGTGCACCTAGAGTCTTCGTCAAACTCACTACGCGAGATTACGGAACCCCGAATGAGGATATTCCAAATCGTCGCAACGCTGTTCCGTTCGTCTATTGGAAAGTCAGAATTGTACTTCCGTATACTTGTACATACATACGATCGCACTATAGACCAAATGTACATTTATATCTGTTTATCCGCGAGACCAACGCAAATTTCTGTTGATTTGCGAAGTTCGAGCAACATCGACGTTCGAGGACTCAAAACGAGGGAAGAAACTGGAAGATACGCAGGAAATAGAAAGCGGAAATTGAACAAAAGGACAAAAGGAGGAAAGAGAAGTCGAGGACACACAGCATTTCTTTCAAATTTTTATGAAAATTTCAATATGAATTCTGCGTGGCGTGGATCAGTATTGAGTCTTGCTACGACAAACAAGGTATACCGTGGTTTAGATTACGAGTACTAGCGATAAGAATAGACTACTATGTACAACTACGGTCACGTTACTACGTACAAACTATTCATGATTCACGATAAATCCTTCGACGACCGATTAAGCGTGATTTGTAGGTGAATAAAGCAAACGGGTGTTCTATTATCACAATAAAAATTTATTTTGCATTAGAGTGCGCTTGAAACACCGCTTTATTATATCGCGTGGCAATATAGAGTAGGAGGAGTTGGAATAAGCAAGACTCAACGCTGACTGCGAAACTTATCTGATTTATAAACTGTAACACGTCGATTTTTATGCAATTTTGCACACATAGAGCTTTGAAAAATATTAGACACGTATTACTTCATCGACTACAGCTGTTGCTCATGTTTTACAAGAAATGTTTATAAAAAAACTGATTAGCCAATTATAACTTGATGAAATTTCTGTTTGTTGATCATGTCCATTATAAAATCAAACTGTTAGTTTCTGAAAAATTTAAATATTCAGTAGTTTCCAACTTTGATCATAAATATCAGCTTAAAAAGAAATAGGTGTCTAATATTTTTCAGTGCGCAATCTGTAAGCAAAGAAGTTGACGTTACAGTTGGATTACTTTTGACAAAGAGGGAACCAAACATGTCGATCCTCTTAGCCTTCCAGTTTGCCCACTTTCTTGTACACGATCGCGGCACACGATCCTCTCGTCGACCACGTTGCTAACTCGCCATTGTTGTTTCTGTTTAATTCATCTGTTGGCTGGCCTCGTGTGGTAGCACAACCCTTTTGGCAAGACCAGGCAGACTGTCGTATTTTCCCGAGCTATTGTCTTCGCCACGATCTTGAGGCGATTCCGGACTTATCGAGTTCGGTGATGTCAGGCATTCGTGGATAAAGCTACAAACCGTGTTAACATAAACGTCACGGTAAGTAGCATAGTGCTTCACGTGCGGCGAATTCGTAAATAGCACCAACTGCACTCGTACACCACGTTCTGCTCGTCTCCTGGCGAACTTCTCGATGTCCTTGAAACACAGGAATAGCCATTCAAAATTTCAGTAGTACAAATATCGTGAAATATAAGTAAGAGAAATTATATACATAAAATTGTATTGTAGCGTTTCGTAATTTTATTATTATCGTAGACATTATTACCAAGTAAGAGTTAAAACTTATTTCTGTAATCCACTTACGGACGCTGGTATTAAAGTGTCAACGTTCGAGTAAAGAAACAGTTGTGGCCAGGAATGAGGTTCCTCCGCCAGAGTTATCGGATTCGTCTGAACTGGATAACCACGTCCAAATGCATGTACCTAAAGTTCGTATTAAAATATTATATTACTTTTCAGTATCATCAGGAAAGAACAGAACAAACGGTTCTTTTTTTTCAACTTCATATTACTCGTGAATTGAAAAGATTTACCTTTAGATCTAATAAATATAATACCGTTTGATGTTTTATTTTCGCAAAGACCAATGAATAATTTATGTAACCCGTGAGATGAAGCGTACATTTAAATTCACTTACATTAGTCCATAAATGAATAACTGAATGTAAGTAGACTTTATGATCTTACGATCATTGTAATGCTAAGGCAAATGTTATACAGTTGCATGCAAAAGTTTCCGGCCAAAAATAATTTTGAAATTAAATTATGTACAATAGGTGTAAAGTAGAAATACAAATATACCGTAGTAAAGAGCTTTTATTATACTATCGAAATGTACAACTAAAAAATTTGATACAACAAGTAATAATTATTTATAACAAAAATAAGAATTTTTACTTTTTCATAAGTATCCGGCCAAGTACAAAACCTGAAGAAAAAACACGATAACTAAAGGAAAAATGTTCAAAAATGGTTACAAATGTAACATTATCGTCAATATTTAGTAACCATACCCTGTGAAGCTATCACGGCGGCACATCGGTGAGGCATCGATTCAATAAGTTTGATGATTCAATCTTGAGAGATATTTCTCCACTCTTCTTGAATTCTTGTCGATAAAACAGCTTTATTGGTACAATTAACAGTTTCTATTTTTAGTTTAAGATCTTGCCATAAATGTTCTATGGGATTCAAGTCTGGAGATTGACTCGACCAATCTAGAATTCGGATCTTATTCTTCGTGAAAAACTCCTGAAGCAATCCAGATCGATGTTTTGGATCATTGTCTTGCTCTCCCATTTGACTGACATTAGTCAAAGTACTGTTTCACGTAGACTCACAGAAGTTGGATTTTTTGAACGGGTTGGAGTTAAAAAACCACTGAGAAGTAAAAAAAATAAGAAGGCCAGATCGGAGTTTGAAAAGAAACACAGGAGTTGGACAGTTAATGATTGGAAGAAAGTGCTGTTTTCGGATGAAACTAAAATTAATTTATTTGGAAATGATGGGAGAAGGTATGTTAGACGACCACAAGGCACTAGGAATGATTCCCGATATCAAATACCAACAGTGAAGCACGGTGGAGGTAGTATTATGCTTTGAGGTGCATTTTCTTGGAAAAGCGTCGGTCCAATTTACAAAATTGAGAGTACTATGAACGCTCCTATGAATAGGGATATTCTATCAGAACAAATGCTACCTTATGCTCGTCGAAATTTGCCACGAGGATGGATATTTCAGCAAGACAATGATCCAAAACATCGATCTGGGTTGCTTCAGGAGTTTTTCACGAAGAATAAGATCCGAATTCTAGATTGGTCAAGTCAATCTCCAGACTTGAATCCCATAGAACATTTATGGCAAGATCTTAAACTAAGAATAGAAACTGTTAATTGTACCAATAAAGCTGTTTTATCGACAAGAATTCAAAAAGAGTGGAGAAATATCTCTCAAGATAGAATCATCAAACTTATTGAATCGATGCCTCACCGATGTGCCGCCGTGATAGCTTCACAGGGTATGGTTACTAAATATTGACGATAATGTTACATTTGTAACCATTTTTGAACATTTTTCCTTCAGTTATCGTATTTTTTCTTCATGTTTTGTACTTGGCCGGATACTTATGAAGAAGTAAAAATTGTTATTTTTGTTATAAATAATTATTACTTGTTGTATCAAATTTTTTAGTTGTACATTTCGATAGTATAATAAAAGCTCTTTACTATGGTATATTTGTATTTCTACTTTACACCTATTATACATAATTTTATTCCAAAATTATTTTTGGCCGGAAACTTTTGCATGCAACTGTATGTTCAAAGTGCAAGTTTCGTATGCCCTGGAAAGTCGAAGAGGTGAAATACCATGCTCGTACCTCGAAGAACCAAAGCACATAGAGGAAGATCGTTATAAAGAAGGACATTGGTATGTTCATGAGCGGATGTCCACCGATGATAACGCTGACCGCCTTGAAGAGGGTGGTCAACCTCCTTTCGCCAGGTGCGCTGTCGAATATTACTCCTTTGACCTGTAATTTACCAAATGCGTGTCAAACGACAGATTAGCATATTTTTTATTAAAGGATAACGAAGTTTCCCGTACCTTGAGCGGCGTGTTAGACTGTTGCATCGCCAGGCTTACGTGCTGATACAGAAACGCGCCTCCGTTGCTGAAGACGTGGAAGAATATCGGATGCTGGTCCAGGCTCTTGTCAATAATCACCTGGATCAATCGTTTCCCGATGTAAGGCAGTTTGTCTCTTCTCCAGAACAAGCATTCTACTGGGGCCGTGTATCGTAGTGTGATGCAGCTTGGAAAAGGAACATCATTTTCTTTTTATTGTGGAACTTGATGAAATGTACACTTCTAAAGTGAACGAGCACATTGACGAGCATTGTACTCAAAGTTTGGACCGTCAATGTTAGCACAGCCTGTATAGTAACACTCTAGTTCAGCTATATGTGCCACTTTATATTCAGAAATTGTGTTCGCGTTACCACGAGCAATAGTAATATTAGAATATACGGGACGCCGTGAGAATCCACGCGAGGTTCGAATTGTTATTGATTAAATAAACAGAGTCAGCGTGATTTACCGGCACGGATCCGTTGCGCTTGTTATGTTTCACCGGCTCCTGTGTAAATCAGTCGAATTTATTTGATCTCTTTGGAGCGAGGTGGATCAAAATCCACCTCTTTAATATTTTATTTAAAATTTCTTAAGGCAATGCTGTGAACTAACACTAAACGTTAGGAAGTGAAAAGACGAGTTTGAAATTCGAAAAGTTAACATGCATTAGCGAGTTGACATTGTTCTCCTGTGAACCAAGAATTTTATTTTTCTTCTAATCGCGTGTTTCGCAAATATTCGTGTTTCAGCCTACCAATACCCGCGCATGGAGTCGTTGCGCATTCGTTATCTGAGAAAGCCTGCACGATTAGCCAAGGAAACTTCAACGAACGACTCATAGTTTCAATGCAAACGGACGAAAGAGGGATATTCTGGTAGCCAAGCTGATTCCATGCATTTATAACGTATGCTAGCATAACGTTCGCAGAATACACTTCATAAAGCAGCTTAATAGAACATCAACGTCTCACTTGGCACAAGAGTGTACCTCCTGCACACGTTCAGCACATGATTTTTAAATCGACACAGGTAAAATCCTGCGACAATGATAATCCTGTATCGTTGGCACGTCTTTCACCGAAATTTCAGTACCTCTTTTCCTCGTATATCGCGCTGTACTTGGCCAGGTATCTGTCCTGACAGCCGGCCCATCCTAGAAGCACAACCACCGGTCGTTTGTCCTCCTCGTAGACGAACACGAACTCCTCGCGCTGATCCTGGCCGCCGGTGGTCAACGTCGGATCTTTCGGATACGGCGGAAACGACGGGAACATGATGTAGTAGTCGAGATCCTCTTGATCGCTCATCTTTCCTGCTTCTCGTCCTCCTTCCCGCCGAGGATGCGAGAGAAAGAGGGCGAAAAATAAAGGAGCGGGTTAAGAGGGTAGAAGCGGTGGCGCAGAGACGTGGGACACTCAACGGAAGCCAAAGGGAGGATATCGCCGCCCCTTTACCTCGACGGATACGCGTTTCGAGTCGAGCTTGCGTTGTCGTGAGCGCAACGCCAGTGATCGATACCAAAACGCCTGTACCAAAGTTAGGTCGTGTCACGGACGAGGACAACGACGTCTACGACCGTGGAACTCCCTCTGGAGCACTCGGAGTGTTTTCCTTTCTTGTCAGCGATCGCGGAACCACGGGAACACCGTCCACGATCGATGCGACCAGCGATCCCAACCACAACTGATTCGACAGACCACACGTTGTTGATAACAAACTATATATGGACTCGCGTCCACGTTCACAGCACTTGGGAAGTTCTCTCGCGCGTTTTTAGCAACGGAAAATTGGCACGCGTTTTGCAAGATGTTCGCGCGACAGCTATAAGTACGGATGATCTTTTTGTTTTTTATTAAGCATTAAGTTTTTTTCAGGATGGGGAAAAAGCATGTATATTTGACGCACTACAAAACAGAAGAATATTTTAAAAATTATATCAGATACATGGTTTTCCATGAATATGTTGATATGTATATATATATATATACATAAATGTATAAAGATACTTCATAAAATATTAAAATTAAAAATATACCTAAACTACATAATGTAACAATAGACATAATAAGATATCTTACATGTAAGAATTCACTAATGCCCCTGTGTGACGTTGACCCGCCTTGCAGGAATGTAAAACAGGTTCGCATTTGTGAGAATTCAACACAATGAAAATTACCATTCTCAATCTTTAATATAAATTAATTATTCACGAATATGAAAAATATTGTCAGGTTCTTTTTACGGTTTAATTTATTTTTACTGGAATATTCAGTTACCAACAGATCGAGCTATCTTATCTTATAATTGGCGTCATTTTAAAAGCAAGTAGTCCCCACTCCTGTTACTAGATGGCATCACGTGATCACCATCACCATTCGTTACCGACTCTGCTGGTCTTTGAGGTTGGGTGTAGGGAGTTGTTTAGAAATTATTTATTTATTATAACAAATGATTTAGGAACAATTGCTTCTTGTAATATTACGCTCTAAATATTGCCACTTTTTATATTTTTTTTCTGATATCTCTTTTTCCTCCCTTATTTACTGACCAGCAAAGTGTCTTCGCAATTTTTAAGGTTATATTTACTATTTTCGTAACCTTGTGCTCCATATTCTTGAAATATTGTATACTACTTATACAGAACGTAAATCGTGTGTTATTAGTCATCAGATATTCCATAAGAATACCATTATCATGTCAGTATCATTAGGTAAGAATTATTTTAATTCTCTTTTTACAATTAGTATAATATAAAATATTTCATAGGTAATTCTTTTTATAGATTCTATCTTAAATCTTGCCCTTGTGGCATTCTTGTACGGCGTAACCAATCCATTTATCAAAAAAGGAGCTCAAGGTCTAGAAAATGTAAAATCATCTTCGAGATTTGGTCAATTCTTTAATGAATTGGCATTCCTAGTTACAAAACTGAAGGTTTTATTTAGAGCATTATCATTTTTTAAGCATATAGTTATAATGAAATTTCATGTAATTACTTTTATCTGTCTAGTATATTGTACCATTTATCATCAACCAGTGCGGTTCTATATTATATTTTTTAACTCTGAGTAGTACAGATATATCACTGGCTGTTCCAGTCACTAATTCACTTACCTTTGTGGTAACTGCGATAACGGGTTGGTTTATGGGTGAAGAAAAAATACACAGAAGTTTGCATATCATTTGCTATCCTCCAATAACTATTAGGAGAATACTGTAGAAGTTATTTGAATTATTTTAATTTTCAGATACATATATTGGAATGGCAATGGTACTGATCGGGACATTTCTTTGCTGCTGGGATAAAATAGATGAAACTTTATAGTTATATTGTATTTATATAGGTGTAAAAATACAGTTAGAGTCACAAATGAACAAATCACAAACACCAATAACTAATCGAGTATCTTTTATTTCTCGGTAAATTTATGCAGAATACAGTACTAATTATACACGAGGTGTATTTATAATTTGTATTTTATATTTATATTAATATTTTCGCCCACTTTGTTGCGTCTTTACTTAATTACATCACATCAAAACGGACACGGTGCTGAAAGTTTATCGATTATGTACACATCATTTTTTGCGGTAAATTGTGCCAACAAACGGAAGATTCCAGATCAGAGAAATCGAATTGGAAACAAAGAAACCAAACGAATAAACCGTGTATAGTCACTCGACTTTTTACGTCTCGTGGTGCGTATTTACTCGACGAGTTTCGTCAACGACGATCATCGACGAGTTACTCGATTAATTCACCTTTTCACCCACATATAACGAATCGAAAAGTGAACGTGTACGTTCAGAGGGTAGGGAGTGTTTGCTGCGCACGTTTGTGTATGTGTGTGAACAGTCGTTGATCAAATCAATGGAATCATCGAGGAAACAATTTTCGAGGCATTCTAAACAAGGAAAAATATCTGGCTAACACATATTATTGGATAACTATTTCGTACATGGTGCTGTTAACTTTCAGGTGCTAGGTAGAGACAGATATTTTATCTAACATCGACACTGTTTTCTTAAAACAAAAATATCATCCTTTTTCTGCGGTGATTCGTGCAATTCGATCAACGACTGTATGCGTGTCACGTGTGCGCGTATATGTACGTGTGTAATGCGTGTCTTTTAGAGTTACTTATCTTACGAATTACGATTATTGGTCGAGTATTGTTGTCCGTAGCCTCTTTTGCGGTGTAATATCAATATCTCGTCTCGCGACCTCCCGTGTACAGTCGAGCCATTTTGCAACACGTACTTTTTGTTTACTAGGTACACTTATCTGTTAGAGCGAAGCGATATTAGATGGCACGCATTAAGAAACGCACCGCACGTGTTTTCCAATTCGAGTTTGATCGCGGACTCGATTCGTACTTCACTGTTCTACAAGGAAAGACCAAGTATTTGTCCAAAGAGAGTTCTAGACGATTAAGGAGAGAGAGAGTGAGAGTGGGTGATGTGAGCGAAGCGGATCTGTTTGGACCAAAATGAAAGAAGAATTTCATTTCAGGATGGAATCGAAATGAACGCGAGCGAATCGAGTGAAAGGGACCAAAGCAAGCACAAGAAAATTCAGTAGAATCGAATTGAATGGAAACATGAATGAATATTATGCAGGTGGTGTGGGTGGAATGGAATTAAAGGCTGAAGTCAATTAGATGTAGGGGACTCTGAGCGGACAAACTGAATTAAAATAGTTCTAAAATAACTTGATGCTTTTTAGCTAGATAAGAATTTTGCTCACTTTTAGTAAACAATATCCGTCTTCGCTCACGCGTTTTCTATCGCATTGTTCTCTCGGTACGGCCATGGTTCCAATGTACTGTTAATTCTATCACGCGTTTGGCCCCTTGTCCGCTGCAGGAAGGAAAACGAATTCGTGCCCAACACGTGAACGCAAAAATCGTCATACATCGCTGCCGACGACGTACCGTTTCACGTAATTGAAAAACCACGGAAGCGCAAGCTTTCAAACAACAACCGTCGCAACGAATTCGAACCCCGTGCACAGTCTTATCTGAGAATCACCCTGAACCAGGGCTGGGGAACCTTTCTAGCATTGGGAGGTCATTTGTCACTTTGTGAATTTTTTATAACGTAGTACACGACGTGTAAAGTATTAAAAAATATAAGATGACAGTTGCATGTATCAGGGTGTTTCAGAAAATTCGTGTTAATTACAGTCCATGTTAGCAAATAAGATGAAACATTGTCGACTCTTGAGGTTTCTTCAATGATTAAGTTGTTTGGAAAATATTAAATATTTAAGAACACTTAAGAAATGAATTATTTTTGAAATTCAAGTCGTGATATCGTTAACTGATACAAGCTCACGGTATTCAAAATGATGATTTGGTTAGTTCCTTATATATATTATTAGCACATAGTTCACAACCTCGTGTTTGTATTATTAAGTGTTTCTCTACATAATCCTCAAACATTGAAGAGCGGACGATCAAAGTCGAAAATGTTTTACCTTGTTATATAGACTGATTAATAAATAAAAAAAATGCCTAATTTTTTCTGAGACATCCTAATAAATTAATGTTAAAATACATGCTTCTTCAGAATGTGAAATTTCCTAAGCGAAGAAGATACAGGATAGACAAAATAAGCGAAAGGGCTTGGAGTACCTCAAAGTATCACAGGTTCCCCATCCCTGCCCTAAACGAAAGACGCGAACGTTCCTCTGTTGCGAACAGGCAACGCCCACAATTCTTATATATAATTAACTTGCTCGTACAGAAACGAAGACCGTCGATATTGGAACGCTGATCAGGTGTTCAAAGTATCGTGTTGCTTTCATTTATCGTTTAGTATGTACTTTGGTAAAACGGTTGTTCTATGGGCAGGGAATCTCCAGGCTTCCAGAAAAGATACAGTGGGTGTAGAATGTATTCGTACACCGATCAATTTCCCAAAAAACTTTTGTGTGAAATTATAGTTTCTTAACTTCATTTTTTATAGTCAATGGTATTTTATTAAGTTCTCCCAAAAGTTTCTTTCGTCAGTTGCATTCAATTATTTTCTGTGACAGTGTTTATATAAATAGACAATCTAATTTCTTAGACATTGATGTTGTAACAGTAATGAAGCGAAATGAATTGTACACAATTTTGTAATGTAATATAAAACATAAAATATTGTGTATGAATTAATTATTAATAAAACGAAAGAAACTTTTGGGACAACCTAATGCATATTCTTGGAAATCTCTAAGATAGATATAGTCCAAACAACATTTACTAGTTAATATAATTTGTGAAATTAACAAAACAATGCGAAAAGTGGGTGAAAGTATAGAAGCGATAAGTATTTGGACGATTTTTATGACAAACCATTTACAGTAGAGTTTGTAACGTAAACACATTACTTTACTGCTTCGTACGAATTAGAAAACATCAAATTTCCAGTAAAGTACTTTTAAAAATGGCTCTAATAGAGGAATTGAAGAAGATCCCACTTCGAATAACTAATAATTAGACTGCGGAACTTTATGTAAAATAAAATCTTTGCAAACATGCCTACTAAAATTTAACTTAAATAGGACTTTATTTTATTCTCCAAATATTATAACATGAGTTTTACTTTCAATCTTTTTTATATTCTTCCATATTGTTTCCATTTTGTAGTTTCTTGCGCATTCAAATTTCCTATAAATGTATAAAGATTCGCAGTCTACTAATAATTTAGTTAATTTAATGCTTAGAAAAGTTACAATAATTATAAAATCAAAAGGAAATCCCACGAAGGAAGTATTATATACTTGTAAATTAATGTAAATTTCTTCTTTGTTTGAATGAAGTTTTAAAAATTAGACAGTTGTGCGAATACTTATTGCTTCAATATTTCTATCGATTAATTGTTTCTTTCTTGTTAATTTCGCAACTTAGATAAATAGCTGTTTTTTTATAATCTATCTATTCTAGAGATTTCCGAGAATATGTAGAATGTCATTGTTTATATAAAAATAAGTTAATAAATTACAATTTTACACAGTTTCTTTGGAAATCGATCGGTGTACGAAGACTTTCTACACCCACTGTATGGGATGTCTTCTGAAGATTTCCAACCGAGATGATCAAGCATCGACGATACCAGGAACTATTAGTCGCGTGTCAATGGATCGACACGTACGAATTGAATCCGAAGGAGAAAAATGAAGTAAATACAGGACGGATATGTTTAACCTCAGAGCTAGAGACATTATCCTATACATCTTCTATGACGATAAAATACCTCTTTTGCTACAACGCGCGAGTCGAAGGCTTCCAACGTCCACACCTTGCGAAAGGAATAATATCCTCAGGACTGTAAACCTTGACATCGAAGTCGAGTATGAAAAGACGTCGCGCTGGTCTCTTTATCAGCCATTTGCCACCACGCAAATTCCCGTTTCCCGGATATGTTCGATTAAACTAGATACACGCATGATTTTCGTTTGGAGCTTACGCTGGTTGATCGTCGCGACGTCTTTTTATTTCTGGATCCTATTGATACAGCGATCCGTCGTGTTTTTCTCCATGCATGTACGTGCATGTACACGGAACGTTGCACACGTCGAGTAAACGTTAGTGATATCTCTTTTACATTACATTTACATACATTAAAGCTGCACCTTTACGTGTATACGAATACACATCTAACGTAATTATGTACAATGACGTTACAACCCCAGGGATCTAATCCACAGCGGATACTTGAGGTCCGATTTATCTTGACTCGAGGTCGATTTTTTCGGTCAGAAGAGATTTGTTATTTTCATTTTTAATTGGGAAATCAACAAAACTTTATTTTTACACCAATCGCTGATCAATTTTTCTAACATTCTTTTGTAAGAATCTACGGACTAAGGAGACCAAGATATATGTAGATCATTAAATATGATCTAGAGTCAGAGAAGGCTGTCTATTCCTGGGTTAGCTTCACGATTGAGCTTCATGATTCAGTGTTTTCCGTGAAGAGGAGAAATTGTTATGTGTGTGAAGTTAGACCCGCACTTTTCGAATTTTTAGTTTTTCTTTCTTGTGCCGTATTGTGCTATATTTGTGCTGAATTGTGCTGTAAATAAGAGATCGATAACATCAATAACAATTAAGAAAAGAAATAAGCGAAACAAGCCGAAGCTGTCGGCATAGATCAAACAATGTGGGAACTCCATGATAAATGCACACTTTCAATCCCGAGCTTGTGCATTTATCGAGGCATTACTGCACTCCGCTACCCGCGAGCGCGTGCGAATGCGAATGCAAGTTCTTAACGTCTGATTTCTAACTTTGCTAACGCTGCGAAATCTGGCGATCTGACGAGATTTTGTAATTAGGAATAGTTGTTGTGCTAGTCTAGCAGGATCCGGCACAATCAAAGTAAATTCGGAAATATCAAAATTTTTAATCACCGCCACCTTTTTTTGTTAATTTTTATCGACCTTCGAGCTAATCTCAAATTTTAACGCACGTGTCTCGTGTATTGTAAGTAGCACAATTTAGCACAACTTGCAGAATTCGATTATTTGTCGCCGTTCGTAAATTGTACGAATATTAAATTGTTTATTCCTTAAAATTCAACATTTTTTTATGTGCAAAATGAGTAGAGATAACGAGTTTCTATCAATGGTACAATGTAGCACAAGTTAGTACGCATCTTTCTATAGAAAAAAAGTTTGTTTCGGCAAAAGTGCGGGGCTAGTATAGTTTTGGTTTTATTTCTTTTCTTAATTGTTATTGATGTTATCAATTTCTTATTTACGGCACAATTCAGCACAAATATAGTACAACACGGCACAAGAAAGAAAAACTCAAAATTCGAAAAGTGCGGGGCTAACTTCACACACATGAAATTGTTATTTATAGAAGCTTAGTTAATATCAATATTATTTTTAATGTTTGCATATGTAATTCAAATTACGCTCGTTTTTATAGTCAACCCAAAGGCCATCTATCGGTGAGAGGGTCGAACTAATTTTTGGAGTTTGGTCAGCGCCTCTATCGGGAAAATGCTCAAGTTTGTCCTCAATAGTTCCCTTTTTCACCGTTAGATGGCGCCATTTATATGGTAATTACCGACATGATGGTAATGTATCGACACGTGTCGGTAAAAAAAAACAGCGTAAATGGCGCCATCTAGCAATAAAAAGAGGAATTATTGAGGACAAACTTGAACGTTTTCCCGATAGAGGCGCTGACCAAACTCCGAAAATTAGTTCGACCCTTTCACCGCTAGATGGCCGTTGGGTTGACTTTAAAAACGCGCGAAATTTGAACGTATTATGCGACCATTAAGAGCAATTTCTTGTGCTAATTGTTAAAATACCGCCTGGAAAGGTGAATCGAGTCAGAGAAATCGGACCTTGAAGAAGAAACTAGTCTTGGTCATTCGCCTTGGCGACCAGCCGGTCTCGAGGAAGCTTGTAAAGCTTCCGTCTTCGCGGAAATCCACTTTCATCGGGCGAGCGCGTTGATAAATGGGGCTTGGCGTTTCGCGAAGACTTTCAACTTCAACTCTACGATATTGTACCGCAAGAAAAGCCGTACTTTCTTAAGGAGACACGTTGAGTGCCAATTTTCTTTCACTTTTCGCTCGGGCCGCTTGAGCTGTGGTCCAAATCGGTTAGAAAACAAACAAAGGAGACACTTATGAAATGAGAAAATACCGCGTAGAAATTTACAAAATTTTTAAATGTTTGAGCGAAAGATGGAGCGAAAATTGAATGAAAAACGTTGCAAAACTTTGCGAGGGAAACTTTTGTGAAGCATAAACGAAAAGTGAGCGACAGCACTCAACCTGTCGATACTTCGATTCGAATTCAACACTTGTGCGATAATCAAGCGCGTGTAATAAATTCTGAAAGCTCTCCGAGTAAGGCTACGGTTACCATGGATGCGAATTCGGACAAAAATATGTTCGGACGAGTTCTGACGAATTCGTCTGAACAAACAAACGCCTATTTTTCAATGGGAGTGTTTACAGTGGCAACGATAAACATGTCAGAACATTTACGACGGCGTCAGAACTAGTTGAGGATTCAAACAAGTTTGATTTTTTCGTGCGACCTGCGTCTATTCTTTTAGTCAGTATGTTTCTGCCGCCCAGTAATGAAGATAATGTTGTTAAATGATGGTAAAATAGAGCATGTCAACGGATTAAACACTATCATTGAAAAACAGGTATTTGTTTATTCGGACGAATTCGTCAGAAATAGTCCGAACACATTTTCGTCCGAATTCGCATCCATAGTCTTACCCTTCGATAAAACGTTCAGAAAAAGTCTGTATGCGAACAGTTCCGAGTAGTAGAAACGTTCGAGTAACGTCGTAGTCGTTTTTTTCTCTCTTTTTTACATAATTTAGCTTAGTGAAGTTAACACCCCTAGCAAATTTTGGTAAAAATCAAATAACATTCGTTTGTCCACGATTTGTCCACGTTTGTCCAACCACAATTTTCATTTGTCCACCTTTCAGAAAAAAGTTACACCACAAACAAGCCATTTGAAGTCAACACATCTATATAGACCTTTTTTCGGGTTTCCTTAAAAAATGTGTCTTTCCACATTTCGTCCACTAATGTTTCTCGTTTGTCCAACAAGTATTTTCGTTTGTCCACCCCTCAGAAAAAAGATACACTTCAATTAAGGAGAAGTTGCCAGCGATACGCTCGGTTGCGGGTCATTTGTCTTCGTTCTATCAATTTCGTAGCTAATTATTTCTGTCTGCGCAGAACCACTAACGTTATTTGTTTTTTCAATTAAAGTTTTCGTTTGTGTAACCCTTAGGAAAAGGTTATGCATAGATTAGGAAAATGTAGTATCGCTACTTACACTTACGTATCATGTTCATCAATTTAATAATTATTAAGGTGAATATGTACGTGGTACATACCCTTGGATGCAAATTAATAGTTAAAATGCAGAAATTGTTTGAACAATGCCAATTGCAACATTCTATTTATATTTTAATTATTTCTCTTTCCCCGTTTTTATGTAACATGTAAATAATATTAATTTACAAAACAAACAAATAACAAGTACCGTTAGTGGTTCTGCGCAGACATACGTAATTAGCTACGAAATTGACAAAACGAGGACAAATGACCCGCAACCGAGCGTATCGCTGGCAACTTCTCCTTAATTGAAGTGTATCTTTTTTCTGAGGGGTGGACAAACGAAAATACTTGTTGGACAAACGAAAAACATTAGTGGACGAAATGTGGAAAGACACATTTTTTAAGGAAACCCGAAAAAAGGTCTATATAGATGTGTTGACCTCAAATGGCTTATTTGTGGTGAAACTTTTTTCTGAAGGGTGGACAAATGAAAATTGTGGTTGGACAAACGTGGACAAATCGTGGACAAACGAATGCAATTTGATTTTTATCCAAATTTGCATTTGGGGGTGCCAACTTCACGAGGCTACATAATTTAGGAAACAGAAAATCACGATGACGATGTATATGCAATGAGATTGGTAAAGTAACGTCGCCAGTCGGTGTCGATCATCGCGAATTTGATCGAACTCGGTGCGTACTCTTTCTCAAGATGAAAGTCTTCGTTCCTATGAAAAAACGTATGCTCGTAATTATAGACTAATTGTAAGAAAAAACAGGTACGGAGAAAGACAGCGTTGCCGATGATCGGAACGCCATGGGAATCACCCTCGACGTTAACATAGTGTTCTTTCACTCGCTACCACATAATCGCCAATGGAGAATTGTGCTCTAAGTACGTTTACGACTTTCTTTCGCTTACGTGTGCTCGATTCTTGCTGCCTATCGCAGCGTGGTAACTTTAGGCTACGTTTACCTTGGGAGACGTGCTACTTCTACGTTTTCATAGTAATTAATTCACGCGTAATCGGTTGCACGACCAGGGAAATATCAACTGGGAAATGAACGCCTTGAGATTCTTCTCCGAGCCGACCTCGATTCTCTATTGTGAACACAGAGGTGTGTGTTTACATTCTTGGTGAATTAATTTATCGTTTTTTCGTTTCTGCCTTTGCAGTTTACCATAATTTTTGATAAATCAAAGCGACATAGAGACGAGCTCAATTATTTTGTGGCCCTCGAAGAGTACGCAGCTTTTATCGAACGTAAAGTAGCGCGTGGCCTTGTAATCAGTCTGCGACCAACACGACGAATGCGTATTTAAAAAGATTCACAAAATATCGTGGTATTATTTTTTCGCTATATCGGAATTTATGCACATGTAATTTCCGCGTTAGTCCACGACTTAACTCGGACTTCACGGTCGAGGCGTTCATTTCGCAGCTTGTTATAAATTAACGCAATATATCTTCGAGAACGTAGAATAAGAAAATCATGTAAAGCTTGTATGTACAATTCGCAAATACGACCGCGGAGACTGGTTTGGAACAAGTCTGTGGTAATTGTTCAGAAATGGGCAAAGTTTGAATCTACACGAAAATTTCGAATGACGAATGGAAGATAGAGATTCATCGTTTCGGTGGTTATTAAAATCTCAACTATAAAATAAAGTTTCACATGAAACGAGTGGAAGGCCATCTGAGTAATTGTTTGGTCGAGTAAAAAACAAATGCCATCAATAATACCATTGTCTATACTTTCTCTTTACTCTAGAATATGTATATTCTCTTCAGAAATTGCTCTAGTGTCGAACTAGCCGCTCTGTTACATTCCAGAAGGTAAATAAATAGCTCCACGTTGTTTCCATTCGCCACTCGCGTTATTCGATTAAAATTTTGCCCGCCTCTGCGCTCCACCATTCTCGATATTCAGACACCCGTCGAAATGCTAGATCAATGGAACATCGGACGATGGAACAGATAGCCGTGGTAAACAAACGATACAAATAAGTCGGTGGAGGTGGTCTTAACGTTAAGCCTGACCTTTGACTTTCGCTCGGGGCGACGAGAGGAATCGCTGTAGTCGCGACGCGTTTACCCGTATCACTGCGACCACTTCTAAAACGTTCATGAGCCTCCTCGTAGCCTAAAATTACATATTCTCTTGAGAAACAAGACGGCTCGTCGGATCTTTCATTCCTCGGGCGCAGCTTGTTGCACTGTGTCGCCGTCCTCGCGGCTGTCGCTCGCCTTCTGCTCTTGCTCCTTTTGTGCCCTCGCCTCAGCATCTGTTTTCGAACAAATAAAACGATGCTTTCATTTGTACTCCGTGAGTGATGCGAAGAGCGGAAGCTAACGCCACGCAGGAAAAAGGAAGGTGACATTTTCATTATTTTTTTGTTTTCTTGAAAGAAAGGAGAATTGGAGACTGGGAAGGACTGAGAACGGTGAAGCTATGTAGAGAGGGTGAGGTACCATTTTTCATTTGTGAGGGAGAAAGTGAAGTACCATTTTTAACATTTTGTTTTGTGGGAGACAGAAGGAATG